GCGCTTGAGGCCGACACCGAACATCGAAAATATTTCCCGCTGCTCGGCACTAAGGCTGACCGCCCCATGCACCTTCTGGACCACCTCGATACATCTCCAAACGTGCAGGTGCTCTTCGTCAAGCTGCCAGAGTGTTCCCCTCGGTCCACTGCTCAACTCTTTCAGCATCTTCGTATCCCTAGCCTGCTCAATTTCCCTCTTCGCTCTCGGCGCTTCATCTTCAAGCGCTCTCTCTTTTGCAGCCTTGATTTCCTTCCTACTCTTCCCTTCTTTCGATATTGGCAAAGCAAGGCCCTTCTCTGCGTAGGCGGCTGTGGCTTGGGCCTTCACCGGGCCCTTCCAGAACTCGACTTGAGGGCTGTTGTTCTCGTGTAGCAAGTGGTAGAATATTGGCTCCTCATCTTTGTCGCTCAACAGGTGTAGAGGCTTGGATATCGATATATTAGCAGGAGGCCAGCGTATGTCGCCGTATGGGCACTGGTTCTTCTCTTCTGCCGTCAAGGTCTTCGGACTTGCAGCGTCGCCGTTGCCTCCTTCGCCTGTACCAGATGCTGAAGGCGTAAGTCTAGTTGGATCCATACCCAGGTATGTTGTGGGGGCCTGCGTAGCTGTAGGCGTGATCGCTGGCCCAGGCACAGGTAATTATTGTCGTCGTAAACGGTCTTCGCGAAGTCACGAGCTGGCTGATGAGCGGATTTTGGAGCTGCGCGATTCCCTCGTCCGTAGTTCTCGAGCGGATCTCCTCGTGGTGCGTTTTGCGGCATGGGAACGTGGTAAGAATTACGAGCATGGCCTTAGCTGTCGTTCAGAATTATTCACGTGGTCTATACATGGAATTCAATAACCTTCACGTATTTTAAATGCTGAATTTTAGCAACAGTGTCCAAGAACCCTCTCCAACGGGCAAGCAACGCGTTCGTCATACGATCATACAGGAACAGCAACAAGCACCGAACATGCGGCTCTGGTGTATGCGGCAATCAGAAGACGTCGCATACTTTACGTCGTGGCGCAAGCGCCGCCATAACATATCGCGCGCAACCTTGTGACAGCTTGCGGCGTCGCTCGGCCAATGACCTGGTCGTGCGACGCACCGTCCGTCAGCAGGCAAAAGAAGGCAAATCAAAGACCCCGCCTTACAATTTCAGGTGAGCGGGAGCCTAGTAGCCACGCATGCAGTGTGATGCACATGCATATGGGGTGGCTGAAGCGGCTGGCCAATGGCGCCATCCCGGATTAGAACAGGCCTTTCATCGCAGCTTTGGCCTCCAATGCGGCTTTACGCTTCGATGCGGGTCTACGCTGCAGTTCGCCCTCGTTTTCCTTCCCTTTAGGCGGAGAAGGGGCTGCGGCAGGAACAGCAAACTTCACGTCTTTGTCGTCCTTGTCCCCGTCCTCGAGAACAACAATTTTCTTTTTATTCAGTTTCTAGAAGAGAGTTAGCAACGCTCCATAACTAGAGCTTCCTCCCAGATTCCAAAGCGTCTGTAGATGCGTTCCATGGAAGAATTCTTCGAGCTTTGAATGTTCATGACATGAAAAAGGTATTGCTTACACGTCGCTTCGGCGGTGGCGAAAGGGCCGCAGCCTCCTCCTCATCTTTCTTTTCTATGATGTGTGAGTCAAATTCGATCACGATCAGACAATCTCAAGAAGATGAGCATGTTCATTGCGCAGGCAGGGTAGTTCGAGCTCGATCAAGATCTGCCGAACAGCGATGATTGCGGACATAGAGCAAAAAGAAAGAGATGCATCAATGCAGCAAGAGGTACACGAGCTTCATGGATCGGAGTTGCAGAAGCTGTAAGAGTGAAACGCATACCGTCTTCATGCCCAATAGGCCCAGGCTCGCTCATCTTCTCGCCGGATGGCGGCGCGGCGTCTTGCTTGTCATAGTAGGCTACAATGTATTAATACCATAGTCTTATGAGATTGGCGGACCAACTGGCAAACATACGTTGAGCTTTTTCTGTGACTGTATGGTAAACTGTTAGTGAGTGCTATGTTGCGTGGTGTGTTGATTGGTATTCGAATTGATGTTCCTGCCAGTCGGATGCTAGGGGAAAGGGAATTTGTGAACTGCTGCACATCGACGCATGCCCATGTGCGCGTGAGTGCGGCTCCCAGTATGAAGAAGGAGTAATGACATGAAGCCTGAGTAGGTTCACGTACACATCCCGTTCTCGTCAGGTTCGGGCGTCAGCCCTGACCTCCCAGCCCGGGCCAAGAGGTCGACACCCGACTCTAATGTGGAAGTGAAACTATATTTAGCACGTTAGTCGCTTCACGCGCACAGCAGTATGCCTGATTACTCACTTCATGTCAGATGAGGAGACATGAGGTGAGAAATCTGCAAGTGAGGCATGAAAGCGCTCGCACGTAGCACGCTACTTCAGATGGAAGGCACGACCAGGAAGGCGCGAGGACTCATGTGTCGGGGAAGTACCAAACCATGCTTTCCTACACACACAGAGATAAAGAAAGCCCCTTTCAGAAAGCAAATGAGTCACTTCGCGTTTAAAGGGTTGGGGTTGCTCTGTCTTGCTCGTATTGAAAGTTATAACTAGGTCCGAATCGGCTGTCAGCGGCTGTACAGTATGTGCAGTTCTATTCTATCTAAGAAGGCTCAGTCATGTACGTATCAGTAGCCTGACGCAGTCCAAACTTAGGAAGAGGCGACTGAGACTAGGAATTCCAGAGATGTGGCAGCTCGGTCGCAGCTTCCATCTTGGTCTTGAAGACTACCCACTTCGCCTGCGTTTGGTCCTGCTGATACTGAATCCTTGCACTGAACGCCTCATCCCACAGCCTCGCATATTGTCCGATTGATATACCGTTAGCGTTCATGTTCGGGTTGAGAGTCAGTTGTGTAAGGCGGTCGAAAGTCAGCTTCGCGTTTGGATGCTTCCTCTGATAGTCCGAGAGCCACGCGTTGTCGTAGTTGAATGGCAACAAATCAGAGTACTTGTTCACTCGTTTGCCCTCAACGCTGAGATGCCAACCGAAATGGTAGATCCAGCATCCCAGATGATCATCAGAAACCGCCAGCCCGGTCATACGTTGACGATGAAGGTAGACTAGTGTCCACAGGAAGGTTTGGGGTGAGAGGTCGGCGAAAGGAAAGCCGAGATCGTCCGCCAGACTACCGAGATTGAACCTGTACTTGTTAGTAATTATCCAAGAGCTAAATTATGATGGTCACATACTGGGTGTAGAAGCCATTATACCAATCCGGAGGGTCGATGCTGTTTGCTTCAATGAAGAACCACATAGCCTCGTAAGACGGACTCGTGTTGAACTTGTACATGGGTAGACAACCCAACACGAGCGGCATTGCCTGCGCTTGCTGCCCTGTCGACCATCGGGCGTACATAGGTGGCCGGTTCTTGATATTGTAGAAGTGGTTATAGCCCATCTTGTCTGCGCGCATGAAAGGGCAAATGACAATGAGGCTGCATCCGTACTTCCGCGCAACTATGGCGACATCGGGCTCCTCTGGGAAGACTATACTTCCGCGGTCTGCAGGGTAGAAAAGAGCAGAGTTCCTAGGCTCCGCGGCTTCTTGTGGGGTAATGCTGTCAAAGGTCGCCCTAACATGCGCCTCGTCTACAGGTCTTGTCCTATCCGTCTTGCATTTGAACCCGTGGCTGACAAGCGCCATAGTAAGCGCCGCTTGCGGTGTATCGGAGTGAAGCCAACGCATCTTCGTTCCAGATTTATATTTGATGGGAGCATCGAAGACGAAAGGGGAAGCCGGTCGATTAAGGTCTTGTTCGTCGTGTACGACCGGATTCGGGACTGAGGTCAGCCCCGCAGGCGACAGTGGATGTGATCTTGACATCCTAGAGGAAGCGGAAGACAGCTCAGTGTAACGCGCCCAGGTTGATGGACGGGTACTGACTCTGCTTGGGCGCTCGACCGAGTAGTTGGGGGGCAGTGGACCATAGCTTTTAATTTCGTCCTCGTGCCACTGTGAGGAAGAGCTTCCCGTATAAGCACCGTACTTCTGAGGTTCATCGCTTGGTACGTAGGGAGCCATGTGAGACGACGGTTTGCCTTGAAGCTCTAGTAGGGTCAGAGTTACTATGTGTATAGTGAGTAAAGCCCGTAGATGTATCGGCTGTGGGCGTATGACGGAGACTGACCGGATTGCGTTCAATGTGAGGGTCTGTAACCTGTAGGTCACTTGCGCTAAGATGGAAGGCCTGAAAGGACTGTTCCAACAATGTAGAATTGGAAATCCGTTCGCAACCTAGAAGCCAGAGAGTCTGTGGCGCAGGGAGATGAAAGCTAGTTTGGGATTATAACTTCCTGTGAACGGTTCATGTGACTGCGCTTTCTGCTTCGCTAAGATATCGATCTGTGTGTTGCGGCAGTCGGATCACGGGCCGGGTATACCTAGGTACGATTGGTCGCCTGCAAGGCTGATTGCGATGTGAATGATTGTCACAATAGTAGCTGCCTAAAGTGGAAACTTGCTCACGTTTTTGCGTTTGCTGTGACGCAATCGCCGCCACGAGCATTACGCTAACGGGCGCCGACACTCGAAGACTGCCTGGATACCTTCGATACGTTACTTTTCCCTACGCCATTGTCTTCTCTACATCTGCGTCAAACTACGACACCAGGCTCGCTGCTCACTGTGCGCCTCTTGTAGCCGTACCATTGCTGCTCACTCTCACATCAACTTCTCCTCTACATCTACTTCGCCCTACTCTTGAAGACCACACCCGCGGTTCACTTCTTGTAGCCGTATCATTTCCACCTGCTCCTACACCGACCGGCCAGCTCAATCGATTGGACGTGGCTCTTAAGTAAGTCCCCAGCGTATCGAGGTATATTGACACTCTCCAAGCTGACGCATTGCTGAATAGGCTTTCTTTCCCTCTCGCTTCGGGTATGCAGTAACGGTCCACTATACCAACTCCAGGTAAGTCACATTGTTTCCCCTAATACTACCGAGATCTAACATCGAGCAGGACGCTCGAAACACCTCCGCCATGGCCTGGGTTCCAGAAGGCATCTCTGACAACGTGCTTGCCGCTGCCGTAGCGTCAACCAATTGGGCCAGTGGAGGCTTCGTGGGTATTGCTCCTCATCTCCAAGCTTCAGCGATACATGCCTTCCGTATCAACACCAAGTTCGTCAGTCAATCGATTCAGTACGAGCAAGGAATGCAAGGACAATACATGGGCGATAACGGCAAGGGCTTCGCCAAGATCTTCATCCAGGGCGTCACTGAGGGTGACGGCTTTGGTAACCGCTGGGTCCCTCACCAATACATTGACGTCGGTCCGCCGTGGGAGGATGACATTGAGAATTGGAACTTGGATCTACAGACATCAGGGGCGATAAGCACCAACCAGCTGTGGACACCTTCGTCTCTGCCTGACTCAACCGTCTTGGGGAAGACCATCGCTCGTCTCATAACGGCCTTTCGTCATTCACCTCCACCCTTCGATTCTGGCAAAATCACGGACCTCATCGACAGACATGGCATCTCAGCACTCACCAGGGTCATCATCGATGGTATCAAAAAAGCCGGTCTTTATAATATTCTCGCCAGCAACAAGCCATTCAAAGGTGTGGATCTGATCAGAGCCGCCAAGTATCAGATACGCGACCGCACTTCTTCCAATGAAGCTGGTGCCTATCTGAGACTGCATCTTACCAACAATAACGTAAAGTTATGGACGCCAAAGGCCACCTATGCCTACGTTGGTAAGACCAATGATTTTGCCAACCGCAATCACGGCCACAACTACACTGCTTCAAGTTATGGAGAAATGACACGAAACTCCCAAACTCTTGTAATGATTGCACTCTGCATTCTCGCCAAGACAGCAGAAGATGGAATGTTCTTTCTTACCGAACAAATATTCATCTGTCTGCTGGAGACTTACAAGCCAAATGTAGCTGATCCATCTAGAGCAACTCTTGGAACCTTGCGATCCGTACAAACGGCCAAATACTTCACAGACATCGCCGAGGCAGTGTTTCGTACGACTGGGTGGCAGGGCTTCATTAGTCGTGGACCGGAGTCATGCGGTGTACAGTTTGGAGCCAATTACAGCTCCCCTTTGTCTGAATATGTGTCCTCGTACGACAGATTCCTTTTTATTCGAACTGATGTGAACATCAAAGACGGAAAGACAGGATCGGTCATTCCTATGGCCTACTATCGACGTACTGGTCATCATACATCACAGCCCGGTGTGTTAGTGAGAAGTGCGCTGTGCCGGGTAGAGTACAAGAACGGAAAGCCGAAGAGCGTTATCAACTTTCAATGGAATATCGCCAAAAAGACCGCGCAAACGCATCCCCCTTCCGGATCTCACGTCGAAGTTGTTTTTGAAGTTCGAAAAGACGGAACACCCCACCCGCATGCGTGGGCGAGGCTTTCCGATATTGGTCCCTTCGAGAACTGGGGACAGGCAAACTCATTTGCGTGCCGTCTCGAATGGGAGTATCCGCTGGGCTCCGGAAAGTGGCGTTTCACTTATATCCATCGCACGAACATCTTCACTAAATTCGCCGATGATCAGGTGCCAGGATCATTACCAACATACAGCGGGGCCATATCCTTCCTCCAATGGCTTACGAACTCTACACCAAACCATACCCACGGCTGGATACCTAGGTTAGGCGGTGCGTGTTTTGCCCTGCAGAACGAGTACGACTTCATGAACCAGATCATTAGATTTCGGGATCAGAAGAACGACATCGTTATGATCTCTGGTCGTGCAAGGTCTGACCACGAGATGAGAACCCTTATGCGGCAACCGAAGTATGGATTCGGCCGAGTGGGAGGTGTCTATGGTTTTCCAGAGGGTAGCAGCGCCCGAAAGAATTGTGATGGATGTACACTCATGGACATCAACGGGGCCTTCAAAATGGGCGTTCTTCCCAACAAGAGTTGCGTTCAGGACGAGAAAAACAGTAGCGTGTGTACGAACTGTATGGCACTCGGTCGCCCTTGCTGCACATGGACGGCTGGTGTTTCGCACTATACCATGACGAACGTAAGCAGCGACACCAAAGCTATAGATTCCAGGATCAAGGCTGCACTGGTATCCATGCCAGTCGTCGGCATCCCAGAGCGCGGGCAAAACTTCTCACAAAAGTGGAGGACTATCACACATGGCAATCAGATTGATGATGATGGCAGCGACTGCGACGAGGATGACATAGTCGCAAATGAGGATGACGTTTAGTACATCGACGGTGGTAGATTTTGCAGGGCTTTTCATGTCGGAGTAGTTCCCAAGACAGGCTCAAGTGTTGGTCGTAAGCCCGCCGAAAGGATCTTTCGTATCATGCTTGATTATCAACTTTTGCCTCATGTATGTAGGATAGCGGGTTGCTCTTTGTTGGCGTTCATGGAAAAAGAAAATGGAGTTTAGGGCCGAAGAAGCTTCTCCTCAACTAGCAAATGAAAAGTTTCTAGTCTACATCTTTGTTTCTGACACTACGTTGTTCCGAATCGTTTGTATCTTGTCGCACCGAAGGATACCACGATCTAGACGACGCGGATGAGCAGGACATGAATTACCACTACACGGAGCTAGTCGGACTGTTCAAGAGATACAACGAGTCCAACAACGCGGCTGAATCTAGCGCACACTTATCGCCTCAATCGCCAACGCCATCATCCCTTAAGCGCTCCTGGAGTCGATCGTCAACCTCTTCCGATCGCGAGAAGCATCAATCAGCACCAACGACATTACTCCGCAAGAACAGCTCGAATCGTAGACCATTCTCACAGTGAGCTCACCTCATACAAGAAAAAAACTAAACAGGTCTGCAGGCTACATTAAGCCAAAGCCTTGCAAAGGCTGTGACCCAGCGCCAATGTAGGCTCCAGGCTGTTCAGCTTTTTCTTAGGTTGGCGTGAGCTCGACGGTATTGGCGGCATCAAAAGCACCAGCGCACATCATGCGCCTTGTATCCCACCGCGCGTCCAACCGACCTTGTTTCCTTCCTCTCAAATCTGGCTGTCAGCTCTGCAGGCTTTTTCTTTTTCTTTTCTTCTTTCGGACTCGCCATTGGCGTTAGGGTTGGGAAGCTCACGCTGACGTTTTGTAATCTTATCTGGGTACCATGGCATGGCGTAAGGATACACGGAGGAAGATACCCATGGATTGGCGTTCCTGATTTCAAGATTCATTCGCCTGATATTTGGCCTGTCCACAGGCAGATGCGGCATACTGACTCGTCTTACCAATGCGTGAGTCGGATCCAGCATGTACGAGAGCGACAATTTGATGCATTGGTGATAAAGCTAGCATGTACGTCGAGGAACATAACACGACTTGATCAGTGAACTAGATCGGTAATGAGTTCGAACGCGTGTTCTTCATTGTAGAGAAAAGCCCGTATTACAGGAAGGGGGTGGAATAAACCGTGTTATATACACCTAATCACACATGTCTAAGTTCAAAGCGGGCATCCACTGAAGACCTCAGTGATGCACATATCTAAAGCCAATCCTCTTCCTCAGCGCCGCACGCTCCGACAGCTGCTCCGCAACAAAGCGGACACTGGGCTTCTCGATCTTCCTGGCACCCTCCCTCAAATATCTGCTGTGTCTCGAAGCCGTGCGAACCGGGTCCGGGGTATACGGTGTCGCATCGAACCTGCGAACCAGCGGTATAGGCTTGACGTGAATCTCCTTCGGGGCACGCCGACGAGCGCGTCGTATGATTTCCCTCGAACGTATCGATATCGTCGGTTTTACTGGCTTGTACGAGTCGACGACGCGAGCAGACGGTGCTTTGCTGGGAGGGAGGGAAATGAAGTTGTAGGCTGTGGTGTTGGAGGCGCGCTTGCGACGGGGCGCTCGGCTTGTCGTTTGTGCGGTTGGTGGGTTTACTTCTCTAGATGATGGTTGAGAGGTAGTCTTACTGGGAGTGGAGTTGTTTGGAGTCTCACCTTGGGGCTGAGATACAGGCTCAGAACCCGTCGAGGACTCAGGAGTCGTGGTAGGCTCTTGCGCTTTTGGCGTCTTCTTGGCGGCAGCATTGAGTGCTGTAATGTCTGGCCTCCTAGAGCCGGGTCCCAGCGGTTTCGGCTTGGTATTCTTTACTGTGGTGTAAACAGTGCCCTTGACGGCAACACCTCCAGTCGGCCCCTCAATCCATACATCGTATATACTGCCATGTTGCAATTTCTTCTTCTCCAAGCCGCATATACGCATCTCCTCGTCGCAGTACAGCGGCGCTAGATTGCGATATTCAATCGACTCGAGATCATGCTTTCCCCCGGTCTGTGCATACACGTAATGGCTTATGGTTTTCAACATGAGGAGCAGGGAAAGAGGACCGTGAACTAGCAGGTTGCGGTGGCCTTCGACGTTACGAGCGTACTCGGGATCGAGGTGTATGCGATGGGCGTTGAAGGTAAGAGCAGAGAAGCGGAAAAGAAGGGCGCGATCGGGAGTGAGGGCGTGGGAGAAGTCTGGCTTCCCAGGCGCTACATAGAGTCAGTAGATAGTCGGGAGGGTTGTCAGAGTACGCACGCTGCAGATACTTCACGGTGGCCATCTGCCCAGCCTTGACTGCCTCCAATTCGGCAGCGGGGCGCTCCTTGAAAAAGACCAGGTTACGCTCCTCCTTCACGATGGCGTCGCCCCAATCGTCGCCGTCTCGCAACTGCTGCTCGAGATAAGTCTTTAGTTTTTTACCTCCATTCTTTCCCAATTTGCCATGCTTCGCGTTGTACGCTCTCCCTACGATGTCCACCCGTGCAAAACGCCGCTCGATCGTGACAAAGATCTTGGCAGTGTCGCCTTCTCCGTGCAGTCGGACATGCTTTATGTGCTCCGTCCCAGACATGGGAAAGTCGACTCTAAAGCCGCGGTTACGGTCGTAATACTCGTCGGGTCGTACTTGTATCGAGCCGCCAGCCCACATGCGCCGAACCCACGGCCCGCCCGGGCTCTGCGACGCGTCTGTTCCATCTGGGAGTAATTCGGTTGTCCGCACCGCGGGATTGAACCATATCAAGTGATGACCAAACGGCACCATGCGACTACGCACACCGGGGGCATAGCACCATTCTTGAGGTAAGAAACCCGTGATGCTTTGCGACAGCTTGAATTCGTGCGGAGTGGCGATGAACTCAGGAAGGTGTATGGCGTCTCGCTTCAACATTTCGGTGCGCAGCTCTTGGAACCATGGCGGATCCACCGAGTTGGCTGAAGAACAGCATCGCAGCGGTATTCTTCGCCATTGCGTGCGATTCGCGTTGTCCCAGGCAATCCGACGTGCGCGCGGGGTCCGGAGCAGCATTGGGAAGAAGGTCTGTGGACATCGCAAGACCCGCCGCAGATGCTATCCTTGAAGTCTTGGCGGATTAATGACGTAGGCGACTTGACCGTTTGAATACCCATCACTTGTACGCAGCGTGACACTTCACCTATAACAACCATTGCTAATCTCCATTATGTGTCAGTCTTCATATACTACGCGCTTGAAAAGCTGTGAAGATGCAGCAGCCATGCCAATCCAACCGCCAATGTCATGCGCGGCTGACCGCCTCGCTGCGACCCACTTGTTAGCCACACCCATCATCTTCACACCGATGTACCATGGACATAGCTTGCATTGAACTCGCATGCTAAGTTCAAGCCTGCAACTGATATCGCGTCACGCGTCTTGACGTGTTTGTTTGTGTTCCTCTTCCGGCTATCCACGAGCGTCGCACCTTCTTCACGTCCACCCCGGCTTAATCTTCACCGCCAACGCCATCGTTTCCTTGCAAACAACGCCTTTACCTCATAAGCGAGTCTCCAGTATGTGTGCAGTCTACCAAACTTGTGGGTTGCTGTTTCGTCTGCGTCTGAACCGCGTTCGTCATGCTAAGCCACGGAAGCCTACAGCGACTGCCACAACATAGTCAGCCGTATACGCACGAGGTGACGGTTTCCAGACACGTGAACAACGTGTCACCCCAAATTGTCACTCACCATACATCCCTGGGGCAGGAAAGTGCTGGACGCCTTCACACGCAGGGTATCACCTGCACAGCGATGACGAGCAAGATGGAGCTTCTGGAGTGTCCCATGTGTGACTTCACCGTGCTTCAGAAAGATGACTACATTCTCCAACTACACTTTGAGCAAGTGCATACCGAGAACTCTCCTTTCGTGATAGAAGACGACCCAGAACCGTTACCCCCTTCGTTGCCCCTCAGGCCTTCCTCGCTCCGCCACGACACTGAGGACGCGCCTTCCTCCGACGACTCGGAAGAGGAGGAAAGCACTACAGTGTGCCCTGACCCCAACTGTGGTGAAGTCGTTCCTCTCTCCGACTTCAACGACCATCTCGAATACCACAACGCAGAAACTTTATCATTTGACGAGACTACAGGAAAGTATCATTCTCATCATTCATCCGCTACTATGCAAGGCTCGACCTCATCTCGTCGTTCCCATGCGAGTCAGGCAAGGACCACAACATCCGAGCGAAGTTTCAGCACAGACTTGTCAGATGCTTTGAAGAGGACTGATGCTCACGGCCGCAAATCGAAGAAGCACCCACATCGGCATCGGCGCGACATCGATGAGAGCGAGAAGAGTACCATCGGAAGGAGTATTCTAGGCTTCAATCCTTTTGCGAAACCCGACAAGTCCGTCAAGCCACCGATCAAAAGTGCTCGGCTAGGTGTAAGTTGATCGTCCTTTTGGCAGGGCCTAGCTAATCTCCGCAGAAATCCGAACTGGGACCCTACGCTTGGGAGAATCGAATGCCTAGGTGGCTGCACGATCAGCTGGATGCCGGCCCCAAGATCACTGCCGTCAACCGCATCGGCCGAGATGGCCGCCTCATCAAGCATGATCAGGTGCAGAACGAGACGCCGGGCATCATTCCCATCCTTGCGCAACTATCTGCTCTTGATCGGACCGTGAAGGAAGCATATTACTGTCATCCATCGACACTCCACGTCGGTAAAACGCCAAGCGAAGGCGGCTTTTGCGGTTACCGGAACATACAAATGCTGCTGTCCTACATCCAAGGGGCCAAGGCTCAAGGCTACGAAGAATTCCCAGGACGGGTGCCGACTATCCTGAAGATGCAAGATCACATTGAAGATGCTTGGGATAAAGGCATCAACTCAATCGGCCGTGTCCAGACTGGTGGTATACGTGATACCAGAAAGTACATCGGCACACCAGAGGTAACATCTTACTCACCTTCAACTGTTCTCTGCTAATATGTAGCAGGCTCAAGCCTTTTTCCTCAACTCAGAAATCAACTGCGCTGTCGAGCAGTTCAGCGACAATAAAGATCGCGCCATTGCGGCTCACGAGCTTCTCCTCGCTGCCATGGAACGATATTTTGCGCGAGCGGCTGCCAGCGACGGATCCAATGTCTCCAAGACTCTTCTACCGCCTATCTACCTTCAGCAACCAGGACACTCGATCAGCATTGTCGGTTTTGAGCGCCGCTTTGACGGCTCATGCAATCTGGTCGTCTTCGATCCCATGTATCTCACGAGTCCTGCGATGCATAAGCTGCTTGGTCGGAAAAGCATCAGGACAGCTCGACCCGAGGTTCTGTACGCATATCGTCGCGGAGCTGGGAAGCTTAAGAAATACGCTGCTTACGAAATTCTGATGTATGTTCATTAGTCGATAAGCGTTTGTCGCATGCTGACTTTGCTCAGGCTCACTGCATCACCGCCTTTGTTTCCCGCTTGGGATGTATGAGCATCCATCCTCAAACCTGACCCTTGCATATAATAGCACAGTCCGTTTCTATGACATCTACTGAACGTTGCTCTTCTAGGTACTTCGTCAATTCCCCGAGTGCCGCTTCGTGTACGTCTTCTTCCGTGCACGCACCCTCGGATACGACGTGTATCCAGAAGACTATTTCCTACGAAACTTTCCGTGGCAACAGTACGGCGGACTGTGGTCTTGCGACGATGCTCGGTTCGCCCGAGCGGAGCCGATGAACCCACTCACAGCTCTGGCTCTACGTCGTATCACGGGCGAAGGGTCTTCGAGCTCCAGCAATACCAATAGTCCCACAAGTCCCACAAGCTTCTTCACAAACAGCTGTTTTCAGCACATGCCAGCAGACGAGCATGATCGACTTCCTTCATGGCTGGGCTCGCTCGATGGTTCGGCGAATGGCTTTGTGAGCCCACCCCGGTACGGCGGCAATAGTCCTGTTTACAACATGGGTACAATGAGCGCTGCTCTGCCTCAGCCTAGGGCAATGAAGCCACAACTGTCACTTCTGACGGATGTTGGAAGAAAGTATCCTGGATTCCCCACGCCCTTGTCCCCTACCCTGCCAGCAAAGGAGGCTTACCCTTCGCCTGCATCTGACGCTGGAAACAGAGCTGCAACACCTCGCGCTATGAGCCCTGCAGTGCGTACAGTGAGCCCGATGAGCATCGACGGCTCAGCCACGTGCTGGCCTTCCCTTCGTTGCGAGCCTCATGGATATGCTCAGCATGCGTCACAGATGGGTCTCATCGACAATGTACTCTTGGGTCCTCAGCAGATGCGTAACGGATGCCGCACTCCATCAGCATCCTCGCAAGTAATTACCGGTCTCGCGAGTCCTCCTGCCAGTCCATCACGATGTGTATCTCCGCGTACGACCATGCTGAAGAAGTTCGCCGGAAAGCAAGGTCACCAAGACCTATCGCCAAAGTCCATGCAGGACCTAAGGCTTGAACTCGAAGTCCATCCCAGCGCTCGCAATCACAACGCATACCCAGCGTCTCCTCCTTCATCTATTCGCTCTTTCTCGTCAGCTTCCCACCGTCAGCCGGCATCGCCTTCTTTTGCTATTGCCAACGGCGTGGAGTCGGAGGCAACGTCGCCCATTGATCCCTCCGGTACCATGCTCTTCTACACATCTAATCGCAGCGTCGATTCAGGTCTGCTCGGCGTCTGCCCGCTTTCTGAACCCCAGGTCGCTGAATACAGATTCTGGCGTCCTTGCGGCCGGCGCATCTGTGGGTTTGGATGCGGAGGCGCGAATGTAGGCGAGGCGGCAGCTGCAAAGCGGCTATTCCGACAAGTCGAGGAGGTCATACCCGAGGTGGAGAACGAGGTTGATAACGACGATGCAGGAATGGCGCAGAGTGAAGAGCACGAGTATGGTCTCGATGGTCAGGCCGACAACAGTACGGGTGGTGCAGGTCATGCCAATGGAGACGGCAAGTTCAGCACGAGCACTTGGGCAGGTCGTCGACTGGTGATGGACTGGAACCAGTTCTTGTCAGGCTGCGAGAGGGATGGCATCGCGCAATTCTGATTGAGTGCAGATGGGGTGAGGGGTATTGCTAAGTCTCTATGACTTGGCGGCATTTCGACGGAGGTACTCGGGGGTACTCTGCGGTACTATGGGGCTCACTACAGGGTCGTGATGGCGGGCCATTGTCTTTTGAGTTTATCTATACCACTCGTTCATCACTTGGTTCTTCAGCCTGGAGTCGTGCTGTTTAACGTTACGGTTGTGACTTGTCCGCATGATGCCTTGTTCAGCTGTTCAGAGAAAGAAGCGAGGCTAGGTGTGGCGTCGAGATGTCGTAGGGCATAGCTCGCAACACTAAACTGGCGTCTGAATGTCAAAAATCTATTACGGGGCAAGTGACGTGCCTTGAAATCCGAGTCAAGCTAGGCTGGACGACCCAATCGGCGATGATAACCAGCTAATCACCCAGCGTGTGCAACCAGCGCTGCAGAGATCGAAAACCAGTATGATCTGCCGGCCTAGACCGCGTAGACTCTCGTACTCATATGTCCTGTTCCTCGCCCCAGCCCTGGATGCCCGCGAGAATTTCGCCGTCCCGGGTCTCAGGTCGCCTCTTGACAGGCACGCGCTCGTGGGGTGTGGTATGACGTCACGCGGATCTTCCTTCTCCCAGCACTTCTTCCTACCACCTGCTTTCGCTTTGAGACAAGCCGAGCGCGCTCGCCTGCACCTGCGCCATGGAGAACCTTGACAAGCTGTCTGCGACGGGTCTGCCAGTGTTCGATCTGAATGCGGAGAACCTGCGGCGCAAGGACTGGTGAGAAGACGGCCAAGATGCATGCGCTCCTGCTGGGCCCGTACTGACAACCGCCCAGGACTAAAACAACCATCGGCTCGCGCGAGTCGTGGCCCGTTGCATTAACATGTCTCGTCCACACGTGCGTGCTGCCCATGCCCCACTGCAGCGCCATCTTCTGGGGCCAGGACCTGATAGTTATACACAACCTCGCCTGGGAGAAGGCACGGGGTGGTCTTGATGGCCAGGCCACCCTCGCGCGCGACAGCTACGGCCATGAGGCGCTCGGCACGCTACGAACGGTGCTGAGAGGGCGAACGGTCAAGGTGGGTAAGCATCAGCTACGACCATGTTTCCCGCATCTAGCCAACTGACCCTTCTAGCCGCTAGGTATTTCCTCAAGGACTTCGCCGAAGACCATGAAACCCAGCTTCTCCTCAGTACTATCTTAGACGAGAGCGGCACACGACAGGGCGTATTGGCCCAGCTGCTCGAGAACCGACCTGTAGACCGCTACATGCCCATCGAGGGTATCGATAAATTCTCGCGCCAAAATCCAGGGAGACGAGTCAAGGACAATGAGTCTCAACAGAAAGGCAAGCACAACAGTAAAACCGAGCAGGCAGATTCCATGCAGACCAACATGTTCCAGCGCTTCGCCGAGCTGCTGCCCAATGGCCTGGCCATTCTCGACAAGGACGCCGAAGCCATCTTCGTGAACGACGGCTTCTTCAAGCTGACCACGAACAAGGGCAACAACGAGTTTCGATCGTGGCCTGAGAGCATTCACCCCGACGACTACGAAGACGTTATGACTGCATACCGCAAGGCATTCGAAAGCCGCACAGAGCTGCAGATAGAGTTTAGATGCGATGTCGCTGAGCCTGAGGAAATGAAGTCCAAGGGAGAGCAGTGGAGACTTTTCTTGCTCAAGCCTCTGAGTGAGGAGGCTGATGCCGGTTTTATTAGCGCCGTTATCGACATCACCGATATCAAACATGCCCAATTGACCCAAGAGAAAGCTGCCAATGATGCCAAAGAGCGCAAGGAGCAACAGGAGAGGTTTATTGACATGGTTTCCCATGAGATTCGAAATCCTCTTTCTGCCGTCCTGCATTTAGCTGAAGAAGTGAGAGAGATTACTAAAGAAATTGGGGCGCAACACGACGACATCCACGACCAAGTGGCCGATATCTTGGACGCTGCCGACACTATACTGCTTTGCGTCTCACACCAGAACACTCTTGTAGACGACATTCTATCTTTTTCCAAGCTCGACTCTATGATGTTGTCCTTAGTACCCCGACGTGAGTTTCTCCATAGTCATAACGTATGACCATCTTACTGAAATACCATAGCAACAAGACCCAAATGGGAGTTCTCCCAAGCACTCCGAGTTTTCCATTCCGAGTTCAAAGCCAAGAACATCAAGTTCCACTATGCCATGGACGTCTCATATGAGGAACAGAAAGTGGACCATGTTGTCGCCGATCTGAACCGCATGAAGCAAGGTAAATAACTTGTGCTATCTTCCCAAGCCACGCTGACGTCTTTAGTACTGGTCAACTTGATAACCAACGCTATCAAATTTACTTCCAAGAAGAATGGCGACAGAAACATCACTGTGTGTATGGGTGCATCCGTCAAGCGACCTACGTCTTACCCCCCAAACGTCATCTATTTCAGTGAAGAGAAAGAGGCTTTCCACCTTGATTCCACAATGACATCGGAATGGGGCGCCGGGGCTGCCATGTACTTGATGGTGGCCGTCAAAGATACTGGTATAGGCATTAGCAAAGAGGGCCAGGCCAAACTGTTCGAGCGATTTAGGTACGTTGTGCGCTCTCAAACTCATCAAAAATGCTAAGCTCACCACATGACAGACAAGCGACACCCAAGACTCAGGAGAGATATGGCGGCTCAGGTCTTGGTCTGTTCATATCCCGCAAATGTGAGTCAATGCCCCTGCTTCATACGCCATTAGCTAATCTATGCTCAGTATGCACATTGCACGGTGGAGACATTGGCGTGAGTTCGAAGGAAGGAGAAGGTTCAACATTCGGGTTCTTCTTCAAAGTCCGTCGCGCGGTCGGCGAAAATAGTGAGGGGCGGCCGACACAATCTCGAAGCAACTCTGAAACCTCAAACGCTTCCTCTCGCCCAGGAGAGTCCGGATCGCGGCCGTCTCGTCCACCCATTAGTCGTGCAAACTCGAATCTCTCAAGCATCAAAGAACGGAAGAATGAGCGTCCTGAAGCGAAAACGCTCGCAAGTCATGGCGGTGTGGATACTGAGGATGTCGATCCTTCACTCAAGCATCCACCAGTAGAGAATCATCCAGAGTCGCATCCGAACTCAAACGAAGATTCGCGCTACAAAGAGACGGAGAAGGCCACCGAGGATATCAGAACACAAAAGCCACACATGGAAAGGAAACTACCCGACCTAAGGAGAGGTGAGACGTCACGCCAGGAGGACGATGCTAAAGAGATTACGAGATCCCAGAGCGACCAGCGCAACGAAGACACACATACCCTTCTTCTCGTGGAAGACAACCTCATCAACCAGAAAGTGCTGCGGCGGCAGCTCCAATCCCGTGGTTTCCAAGTGTTTACTGCGAACAACGGACAGGAAGCCATCGACGCAGTCGCCGAGCGCGGACAATTGGCGGACAACGGCCCCAATGATCGCAATTACTTCGACTGCATACTTATGGACCAGGAGATGCCAATCAAAGATGGCAATGCGGCGACGCAAGAGATCAGACAACTACAGGATGAGGGCAAGGCTGGGTATAGCCACATTCTCGGTGTCTCTGCAAACGTACGGGAAGCGCAGACTAACAGCATGCGCGCAGCCGGTATGGACGACGTCATCTCCAAGCCATTCAAGGTCGACGATCTGGTCAAGAAAGTTCGTGGGTTAGTGCTCAACGGCGGTGGTGGTTCAAAACATGACAACCGGCCGAATGGTAGCTCAGATACTGGGCAGGAAGACAAGAGCAAGAACCAAAGGAAGAAGAGTGGGAATCAGGAAGATGAGGGCGCCAGCCAGCAAGAGATGGGTGGCCTTCATCCACAAGCCGCCGAACGACGAGATAAGGACGGGCATTCGAATAACGAAAGAGAGAACCTGGATCGAGGTGGCGAAAGGTCAAGATCGCGCTCCAAAAGAACCGAAGGATCTCCGAAGAACGAGCACAAGTCGCACGCCAATGTAACCGAGGGGTCCGCGACGAACCAACAACAGTCAAAATGAGTGCTATATCGTCCCGGCGTGCCTAGGGTACGTGTATACTCGCATTTGGATTGCATGGTATTGTTCTCTGTGAAATTCGGGGCTCAGGATTGCATTGCACGGTGTTTTGGATTCGACGATCTGGACTGAAAGTTGAAATGATTGGATGAGAAATGAATATACGAGGTTGGATCGCATTTATAGATGGGATTGAGCGTCCTAGAAGATGGCAGGTAGGGAAGATGAGGGTCGATGGTGGATGCTTTTGCTGTAGCTGCCTCGCCCCTTGTCCGCTTTCTTCGAGGACATGCTAAGGGCTACGAGGGCTTATTCTCGTGCATTTATAAGGGACTGAGCGTTCAAGTTTTCTATTGCAGTATCTTCCGAATTTGAATTGCTACACTATTGTCGGGGGAGGTGCACTGCTAGTTATGCCCAGTATGAAGGCCTTCTCCGCGTATGAAGCAAAGGTTACTCGCGAGAAGAACCTTCAGATTCAAGCGCGAAACCCAGGGGAAGCCTGGAAGTCGTGCATGAGGTGGAGTCTCCGATAATGCAAGAACCCGTAGGTACGCGAGTCATGCCTATGACATCCCACTTCCAGATGTTACCCCACCCTTTAACCAAACAAACATCACGACCGAACTCATCGTCATGCCTGCTAGACTTGTTTACATGCGCAGCTGCGGTCTATTGCCTACTCTCTGTCCGCCTTGAAATCTTAACTAACCTTCCACACTCCTCCTACCTAACATGACGAAAGAGTTCCAAGACAAGGTCGTCCTGATCACAGGCGCAGCGAGCGGTATCGGGTACTTCTCCATCTCACATCTTCCCACCTTAACCCATCTACCCCAGTAAACCCATCATGCTAACCGTCCCCCAGCCGCGCAACAGCCCTCAAACTCTCCTCCCTCGGCGCCTCCCTCGCCCTCTGCGACCTCAACTTCCCCGCCCTCAGCGCCGTAGCCACCTCCTGCACAACACCAACCCACCTCCGCAAAGTCGACGTAGCCTCCTCATCCCAAGTCCAAGAATTCGTCGACAGCACGATAAAAGGGCTAGGCCGCCTCGACTACGTCTTCAACTGCGCCGGCGTCAACCCCACGAGCCTGAAGCTCGAAGACACGGACGAGGAATACTGGGATAAACTCGTCAACACCAATCTCAAAGGCGTGTTCCTCGTTACAAAAGCGTGCCTGCCGCATCTGGAACGCGGTTCTGCTATTGTCAATGTAAGCAGCATATCAGGGATTCGTGGTTCGGCGCTCCAGTCTGTGTACTGCACCACGAAGTTTGGGCTTATTGGCATGACGAAGTCGCATGCGCTGGAGTTTGGGCCGAGGGGCATTAGGGTGAATTGCGTTGCACCGGGGTATATTGATACGCCGTCGAATGCGGGGATTGTGAAGGGTGGGGAGGCGGTGGAGAGGATGAGGAATGGGAATGCGCTTGAGAGGCTGGGTGAGCCGGAGGAGGTGGCGGATGTGGTGGCGTTCTTGTTTGGAGAGGGCGCGAGGTATGTTAATGGGGCTGTGCTGGAGATTGATGGGGGGATTAAGATGAGTAGTACTACGAGTAAGTGAGGGTGTGGAATGAAGAGGACTTCGGGAGGGGTGCGTGTAGATGAGCAGGGAGTGGTGGGTCTGCTTGTAAAGGAAGAACTAGTAATAATATGGCAACCATTGAGGCTCCGCATATGATTCGGTCTGTTAAAGTCCGATATCGTGGTCACCCAATGGGAACCTGAGGCAGAGGAACTCCTTGGTCACGTGCGAGATCGCCAGCTGCGCTAGCGCCTGTCGCATGTCGAAAGTTCCGTCGCGACATCATACTCTCACCACGACACCAACACCACAGCCATGACCGAAGTACAACAACCCACGCAAACGTCGCTCGCGACCGATACATCTCTCGAAACCGCTACATCGACTGAGCTCGTACCGACGACCGAACAGACGATCATCACGACCAATGCCGAGGGCAAAAAAGTTAAGAAGATCATCCGTCGCAAGCGGAGACCGGCGCGTCCACAGGTCGATCCTGCTACGATAAAGCCTCAAGAAGTCGCGCAGACGGGTAACATCTACAACGTCTGGTACAACAAGTGGTCTGGCGGCGACAGGGAGGACAAATACCTCTCTAAGACTGCTGCGCAGGGACGCTGCAACATCGCCAAGGACAGCGGATACACCAAAGCCGACAAGACACCCGGATCCTACTTCTGCCTCTTCTTTGCGCGTGGCATCTGCCCAAAGGGTGTGGACTGTGAGTACCTCCACCGCCTGCCGACCGTCACCGACCTCTTCCCGAGCAACGTCGACTGCTTTGGGCGCGACAAGCATGCCGACTACCGAGACGACATGGGCGGTGTAGGAACCTTCCAACGACAGAACCGAACGCTATACATCGGGCGCATACACCCCACAGACGACATCGAAGAGATCGTATCGCGACACATGCAAGAATGGGGCGAGATCGAGCGAACGCGTGTCCTAACAGCGCGCGGCGTAGCCTTCGTCACCTACACCAACGAAGCCAACTCCCAATTCGCCAAGGAAGCAATGGCCCACCAATCCTTCGACAATAACGAAATCCTAAACGTCCGCTGGGCAACCGTTGACCCCAACCCACAAGCCGCAAAGCGCGAAGCCCGCCGCATCGAAGAACAAGCCGCCGAGGCGATCCGAAAAGCGCTCCCTGCAGCCTACGTCGCTGAACTCGAAGGCAGAGACCCCGACAGCAAGAAGCGCAGAAAGGTGGAAGGTAGCTTTGGACTACAGGGCTACGAAGCACCAGATGACGTGTGGTACGCGAAGGAGAAGAGCGAGTGGGAAGCAGCCAAGCAGCTCGAATCCGGTGGCATGGGCGAGCGCATGATGATTGAGAGTGGAGAGTCGGCATACCAGGAGGACAGCGCTGCTGCACTACAGTACCAGCAAGATGAGAACTCAGCTGCGCAACAGCAGGCTAATGGCATCCTATCGGGCTCTACACTAGCGGCGCTCAAGGGCTTCAAGGCTACGCCGTCGAATAAGCGGCCTGCGCCTGTTGCGGGGCCGTTGGTGGATTATGGCAGTGATAGTGATTAGGTTTGGGGTTGAATTGGGGAGCAGACTGGAGATTCTCCCTGCGTGGGCTCAATGCGTGGGCAAGAAAGATATTGGGGGGGGAGGATTGTATGTATAGTTTGCATGATGGAGAAAAGGACTAAGCATCTCATGGCGTACGCATAGGTTAATTGATACCCGTTCTTTTGCGACTCGTCACATCTTGCTCTTCTGATCGATCCACCTCATACGAGGACAAATCGGGACAGGTCTGCAGCCTACAGCAAGATGAAAGTAGGCAAAGTAGGTGATCTGACGCCAACCTATGCTCTATGGTGTTAAGCTTTTACTTGAACAACGCGGATCGGTGAGGTTGACATTTACGACGACGGCTGTACCCTCAGTTTCTTCGGCACTTGCGGTTTCTTTGTTGGCTCGGGATCGCGTTTCGCTACCACATTGGCATAAGTGGGTTTCACCCCGACCGCTTTCTTCGCCGCCTCAATCTTCTCCAAAGCATCCGCCTTCGGTATAATCTTCGCCTTCTCCGTCACGAGAACCTTCCTCGCAGCCTGCACTTTACGCACCGCATCCGCCTTCTCCTTGACCGACCTCTTAACCTCCTCCTGCCTCCTCACCTTCTCTGCCTTCCTCTTCAAATCCTCCGTCTGCTTCCTCAACCTCTCCGCCTGCCGCTTGACTTCATACGCCCTCTTCGCCCTCGCCAGAATATCATCCGTCCTAGCATACTCCCCTCCTTGGACTGGCTTCCCGTTCCCCTTCTCCCTCACCCACGCACTCACCATGTCAAACCCAAACCAATCCTGCTCTACATTCACCGTATACCCACTCGTCCCCGCTCCATCCAGCGCCCACCCATCCGTACCGCATTTATACTTCAGCGACGCGCCTTGCTTCTGCATGGAGTCGAAATCGCCGACTACGAAACTCTGCGTCCGCGTGTCAACGAAGATGTTCGGCGGCTTGATGTCGCAGTGCACGTACCCCAGTGAATGGATATGCTGGATCCCTTCTCGTATACTCTGTATACATTTCTCTGCATCAAAGACCCGAGACTCGACTATTAGATCCCACAACGTGGTATCGTAGCGCCGGAATAGCAGCGCTGTGATACCTTGATCCATGCCGTAGTTCACGCCTACGTACCGGCAGATATTCGGATGCGGGTTCTTGCGTAGCACTTCACAGTTTGCTATCTCCCGCGTCATGATGTCTTTGATCCAGTAGGGGTGCCCGAAGAGTTCTCGATAGTAGCGCAGGTAGTCCATTTGTTTGGCGTAGAGATGGCCTTTTGTTGCGTATTTGGCGGAGGTCATGGCGCCTTTTTTGTACGTGGGTCGCGCGTTTGAGAGGTTAATTTTGCGTGGGGGGATGTCCCAGGTATATGGGTTGGGATCGGCCGTGCTGTCGTCATCTGGGATTTGGGTTTCGGCGTACCATAAGCCTGGGTACTTTTTTGAGCGGAAGAGGGCCCGTTTGGTTGGGCCGGAGATGCGTGATTTTTGGAGGACGAGGTCGTTGCTGCGGGCAGCGGCCTGAGGCGCCATAATGGGGTGCCCTGAGTGAAACGATGGAAGATGTTGGACGCAAGATGTTTGGTAGAACGGTGGAGGGAAAGGTGTCTGGCCTGTTTGTCTATGTAGTGAAGGGTTGCGCTGTGAAGGCTTTGAGACCACGATGGCATGTTCCAGTTGGCACTATGATGCACTGATTCACTCTGTGAGGAGCTGGCGCTTTTGCACATTGCAGTCGCTCCATTACAGTTTCCAGTATGCCCCTCTTGCTCACTTGGTTATGCTGTATCTTTACAGTGAAAGACTGAGCTGTACCTCGTATTTCAACTCTGTTCTTCAACAACACAAGAGCCCATCGACTTTGCTGGAAGATATCTGTTGGTGCTCGCATTCAACCAAAGATCCCTCGATGAACTATCCGGATCAAATACCCTGGCCAGATCATTATGTTCAAGTACATTGCCGGATTCACAGGCGTCAGCAAAGACGACCTACCAACGCCCTCAATGCAGATCGTAGACCATCGCGTTGTATCCCAGGACTTTTTGTCCGAAACCTGGGTGCTAGCCCACAAAGACGGAAAACTATACCATGCAATCAAGAAAGGCATCCTATCCGACCGGGACATTGAACGTGCCGACCCTTCAACCTGGATAGACCGTGAGAACACTTTGCCCCCTGAGCAAGTCAACCCAGCCAATTTCTACCCGCGGTGCAAGCCTGAATACACGCGCATTTGGGAAGTCCAAGGCTGCGAAACGAAGGAGCATTACAAGAAGCATCATGCCGTTCTGCAAGCGGGCCACCGGCGCATTCGCAACACCCGTTACCCAGACTTTGTGGCTAAGACGACTGCACGCGAGATTGAGATGTGCGAGAAACTTCGCGTAAACCGTCATAAGCACATCTGTAGATATCACGGTGTGCAAACAAGTCGTGTGCTTCGGTTTAAGTACCGTGGGTCTCCTGTCGAAGTGCCCATGGAAGGAGAGCGCGTCCTAAATCTGGTCTTCGACAAATACGATTGCGACCTCTGGGAAGCAGTCCAGCGCGGTTACACTATACACGTGCGAGACTGTCTGGGCGCTATTGCTTCTGGGATACAGCACCTGCACTGTCTGGGTATCGTCCACGGGGATATCAAACCCCAGAACATTTTTCTAACGTACCCTGAGGCTCAGTATGATGCGACTCCAACACGCTACGTCGTGGGCGATTTCGACAGTGCGCAACCCACTGGTAGCGTAATCGATGGGAAGCACGGTACTCCGTACTGGTCGCGGGAGAAGAAGGTCTGGGTTGATACCGTAGAGGAAGATGATGATTGGCTTTCTTTGGAGAGAATGAGGAGGTGGCTGGTTGAGGTTACGAAGGGTAGGTTGGAAGATTATGAGGGGATGGATTGGGGAGAAAGTGGAGACGTAGATATTGATTGACGGATGCTGAATGGAAACGCTGGTTTCGTGGAGATGTTACCGATGGATGCGTGTGCACCTCCTTTCCTTTACTTTACTGTAAGGGGGGTCAGGACTTGAATCCTACTAATTTGCCAAGGGGACAAAGGATTATCCAAGGTGACGGCGTAGAGACGTAATGGACATGTAATCAGCGTCTCATACCTGGACCAGAATGAGACATGTCCGCGTAACGATTGAAATGTTCCAAACAGCCAGATGGCATGATATCCAAGCGTCGTGACAAACCGTAAGCGGAGCGCGGAGTGCAGGAAGGAATGAATACGCGACGCGCGCAGTCCAGCCTTGTTTCGAGGTGGAGCTAGACAGCGGCACGACCCGACTAACGGCGTGGTTGCCCCATCCGCGGTGTCCGCGGTGTTTCTGTTTCGACTTCCGCCAGTCGCGCCATTGACGCGTCATCCCCTATTTGCCAGATCTCATAATTTGCCTATACATAATACACAAGCGCTATATGTGAAGATCCCCTACCTATAGCCAACCGCCCACCACCCGCCCGCCATGTCCCACTCGAACACGCAAGCAACCAACAAGATGCTCAGCACGCTCCCAGCACCAACGCGCGACCTGACGGAACTGGCCAAAGAGGAAAAGAGCTTCACCTTCAACCATTTTACCTGCGAACATGCTTGGGTCATTGGCAATATCCTCCGAAACGCGCTGAGAACCGCCGAATGCCCCGCGCTTATCCACATCTCGTCTGCGAATCAGACGCTGTTCCACTCGCCCAGCCTGCCTGGCATAATGCCCGATCACGAGAAGTGGACGGAGAGGAAGCGCAATACCGTCTTGAGATGGGGCCATTCGACTTGGTTCATGAGCTGCCAGTTTGAGGGCGATTACAAGAGGTTCGCGGAGCACAATGCTATGAGCGGGGATGAGTGGTCGAAATATACCATTGAAGGGGGCGGATACCCCGTCTTCGTCAAGGGCGTAGAAGGCGTCGTTGGCGCTATCGTTCTGGTCGGCGTTGGCGTGGACAGTGAGCAGGCGCACGGTGTCGTGGTCAAGGCCGTGGAGGAGTACAAAGACCTCCGAGAAGGGTTCCGCAGCCCAATGAGGAGCATGACGGTCAAATGACTAGATGGCCTGGGTAAAGGAGATGGACTCGGAATCACACTTGGCATTGATGAGAGGATGGGAAGGAGCAGAGAGAAGAAAAAGACCTGAGCGCACGATTTGAAGTCTGTTGTAAAGCTTGGATTGAGGACTAAAGTACAGAAGAGGCATGACTGCCAGCTGGACGAAACCCGAAACGCCCTCCCGCCGCATCGAAAGCTATCGAGTAGCCAAACAACAAGTTCCGCCCAGTGTTCACATAAGGGGGGTGTTCCGGTGGTTGCGGAAACACATACGTTGGTTCGATGGACGCATTCTGGCCCACGACGAAGGAGTAGGAAGTCGCTGGTCGGTCCAGCGACGGAAAACCAATCGTGATATTGGTCCCAGGCTTCACACGCTTCAGCTTGCTTGTTTGGCCATTTGGGTTGGGGTTGGGGATCCAGACAGTTGGTATCGAAACGCCCTGCTCAGCCCTGATATACATCTGCGATATGCCCGTGTCGACTAGCAGAGTGCCACAGTTCTGCCCCTGGCCATCTATGCTGAAGCACATCTTCGCCATGGCCCAATCTCTCGCATCCTTGTCATGAGTGAGACCTGGCTCTAGACCAGAGAATGCGAAGCCCTTTGTGTTCTTCGGCGTCAGCCCTATCTGGATACCTTCGGCCGATATGATATATCCAGATTGCAGGTTGCCCTGTCGTACCGGCTCCCCGTCGACTGCGTTGATATTCAAGAACGGGTTGATATCCGGTGTCGCGTATGGCATACCATCTTTGGGACCGTTTCTTCCAAAACCTACGCCCATGTAGGTAATTTGCGAAGTGTCCCTCTCTTCGGCCTGCTCCCCATGTAGACCCAATGGACATTCGAACCGGTCTTTACGGGGATCATACCAAGGGCATCTCCAACTCTTGTCGACGATCAGAACAGGCACGTCTGCAGTCGCATATGAGCCATCCTCGCCGCCGAAGTGCATCGGTAGTTTGACCAGTCGCCCTACGTAGAGGATCTTGCTGCTTGTAAAGAAGTGGTGTGCCGGCGTACCCTCTGTAGATGGTATGTTCGGCAGTATTGGGGCGCCTATCAAAGTGCCTGTAGACCCAGTATCCACGGGCATCTTGATGTCAACCCCTTCGACGCCACACATGACTTGCGGCACATGTTTGGGGTTCAGATTGTACATAAATGGAATGAAGATCGAGTCCGTATGTCGTGTTGATTTGGTGTCCATGGGGCGTAACGTAGCTAGTTGGTTGTACATAGCGAAGAAGGCGAGGCTAGCGACCAAAATCAACAAGCGCGAGAAGAGTGTTGAACACTTCCGCTTTCGGTGTGTGAATGTTGAAGTTGTTGCAGTTGGCTCGTGAATTCCAGATGGCGATCGCGTTCTATAGACCTCGGTCTTCATGGCTGTAAATAGATGCAGAGACCACCTGCACCATCCGCTGGCAAACGCCTGACGCACGCTAAGTTCGCGCGTCAATGTCGCGTCCAAGGAGTCAACAGCGTGACGCTTGATGGAAAATGTGTACAAAGCGGTGTCGAGTCATTCAAAAAGCACAGTAATAGCGCGCCGACGTCAACGCCGCCCGGGCGCGCTGTGAGTTGGCGTACCTCTGTCCCCGCAATACCCGGATCCCCAGGCACGTACTCCAACCCAGCAATCCTAGACTTCGGCTCTTCTACTCCATCACCATTGTTCAGTCAAATGTCAACTTTTCCGTACTTTCACGAATATATGGACCACGAATCGCGAGATGCCGATCATCACGTGTGCTCATGCACGTCGCAGCCGGGGATGTTCTTAGCTCGAATTAGGCCTGTGGCTGAGTGTGACCATCCACCGCCCTGAAGGCAGTACGACCGCAGACTGAAGGAGAGGAGCACTCTAGCTGAGAATGGCTTTCGACGACCTACCCGGCCCCCTCTATCGACCTTGATACATCCTCCATCTCATCTCCGATCAAACGAATATCCGCTTTCGTACTCCATCCGCGCCTGCGAACGAGAGTCGTCGCAGCCAGAGCATGTAGCCAATATGGGTCGCTCACCATCACGATCCAGCGATGGAGCTGATTCAGCACAAAATGCGCGCGTCGAACCGCGTCTCCTGAAGGCCATCGAGGACAGTAAACACGACGATGCGATCGCGATTATCGAGCATGCGAAAGCGAAGTCGCAACCCGTCGATCACCTTCTGCGCATAGGCTTGATGCGCGCAGCCGAACGCGGAAACATCTACATCACCGAATACCTGCTCAAGAGCGGCGCGAAGCCCGACGGTGCACCGGGTGGTCGAGTCTCGCCTTTGTTCAAAGCGATTGAGAAAGAGCGTGTCGACATTGTACGACTGCTGTTGAAGTTCGGCGGCAACGTGGATGCGCAAGACAAGCAGGGACGGACTGCGCTGATGACGGCTGCATGGAAGAACTACTACCACATCATGCAAGAACTGCTTAGGTATGGTGCCGACGTCAACAAGAAGGACAACACTGGGCGGAACATATTACACAACTTGGCGGCAGACAAGCACTGCAACTGGGGACGCGATGTCATCGCGGAGCTGTTGAAGCAGAATATCGCGATCGATGGGCCAGAGGGCCAGGACGACCAGAAGCGCAGCCCGTTACATTGGGCTGCTAGTACCGGCAAGAAGGAGCTATGCGAGATGCTCTTGCGTCGAACGAGATTGCCGAGAGCGAATGTGAACGCGGTGGAAGTCAGGCAGAAGACGGCACTACATCTGGCAGTCGCACACGGGCGAGACGACATCATCGAGCTTTTACTAGTCAACGGGGCAGACGTAGGCGCGCAGAGCGACGGAAGCTGGACGCCCCTTCACAATGCTTGCGACCAAGGCAGTGTAAAGGTGCTGAAGATACTCATGGCTGCCGGAGCGGACGTCAATGCGCGAACACTCAACGGGACGACACCTTTACACGTTGCGGCGCAAGCTGGTCACTTTGACGTAGTCAAGTGTCTTTTGGAAAGGGGAGACATCAAACGAGCGCCGAAGGATACATTTGGTATCACGCCATTCTTGCGCGCTGCGCAGAGCAAGAAACCTGCGCGCAAAGATATCATCAATGCTCTGGCACCCCACAACCAGGTCGAAGCGCTCAGCGAAGACGCCCTTGGCGCTACAAACGGGTTCCATGCTACGATCGTTGACTTTGGCAACTTCCATAACGAAAACAAGGTCTCAAGAAGGACTGTCTTCGAGCTGCTGTATGGCCGCGATCCCATCAACCCAAGAAAGCCAGCTGTTGCGATTCTACCCAAGGAGTCAAAGGCGACAACCTTCCGATGGATACATCTCCCTGCCAACAACATGGCCTGGGTTGAGGCGCTGCTCACGAAGGCCTTCATCGAGGAGGGTGCCAGTGATGTGGAGGGCTTCAAGGCGCTCGAACGGTCCTTCAGTCATCAGCATCGAGGTCAGCAGATTCATTCGCATTTCATGCGACCGCTGTGTCAAAGCACACCACGTGCACCAAAACAGCACGATGATTCCGACCTTTCCGACGGCGCTGATTTCATCCCCCAGATTCTGGTGAATAGCGGTATGGGCTTAGGTATCGATGCGGTAGCTGGTTCACAAGAACTGCCAACGTCGCAATTTCCTCGCACGCCTGTGCGGACCAGTACCGTGGATACAGACTATACGGATGGGACTGCAGGAACGGGCTCCGGACCTACGACTGTTAAGGAAGGAAAGAGTAAGGCGAAGGACAAATCGAAGAAGCAACCGAAGTGGAGTGGATCGAGACAAGCAGGCAAGCGATCAGGTGGGACGGACACACCAACTCGAGGTCCAGAACACCAGGCGAAACGAACGCATACTAGCTCCTCTTTCAACAATAGCGGCCATCTCAGGTCACCCGGCAGCCCGGGTAGAAAAGACCCAACAGCCGTAGCGAAAGGCAACATCTTTGCCTTCATGCCATACCTACATTTTGAAACCGATCGGCGGCGGCAAGAAATGCAGGCGGCGATCTCGAGGACGCAGAAGATCAAAGAGCGGGAGAAGAACGAGGGTGGCACTTCCAAGCCACAGTATTACCGCGCATCAACTTATGACGAGATGCTGTTCAGGGCTCACTTGACATCCTCACAAGCTTCGCTGCACGTGCGACGCACGCTCGACCAGTTCTTCTATCACAATATCGACACGCAATCCCGAGATCGAGACCAAGTTGTCTATCGATATCAATGCAAGTCGAACGAGCCGCAACATGTTGACCCAAAGATCTTCATGGTCGATCAGCTATGGATGTGGACGCTTGGCAAAGACTTGATCGTGACGGCCTTCCCTCAAAGATGGCAGCAGCCTCGTAACGACCCGCTCAACGTCCTGGATGGAGTCATTGAAGACATCAATAGCAAGACAAGAGATCCGGTGCGTAGCGTGTACGATCTTGCCATGATCATCACCGGTCGGTGTAGTGGCGTGTTTGACAGACATCGTGTTGGCGACGAAGACTATCAGTTCCTCGACATGTTCGAATCAAGCATCGGTGATGCTACTGAGATGGAAACTATGCTTTTCAAAGAGTTCAACACAGCGTCCGCCCAGGCCTCGGCTTGGCTACAACATCACCGCCGACCCAATCGCTTTTCGCGACATTTGGAGGCTGAGGGAAGGCAAAGAGAGCACCTGAATCGACGGCACACATCGCATCATTCACATTCCCACTCTCACGCGTTGACTGACCCTCCAGTGCCGGAAGAGGCATTTGACTACGATGACAGCGATCGAACGGCCGCCCATGCCCCGCTCTTTGTTGATAAATTACTAGACATCGGCGCTGAGACAGACTTGCTGGCTGAGACGAAAGACATTCGCGACGAACTCAACATGATTTCAAAGGTGCTGGAAGATCAACGCACCATACTACCGGACATGGAGACAAGCATCACGGACATATATCGTGAAGAGCACAAGAGTCAACAGGATCTCAAGAAGCGATTCAAGGATATGCACAAGACAGTAGACACACATATCAAGGATCTCGAACGCATGGACAAGCAAGCCAAGCGCATCTACGAATCCATCACCGACCTACTCGATCTAAAGCAGAAGCACGCCAACGCATTCGAGGCACGCTTCGCTCGCGACCAAGCTGCCGGTACTGCAAGACAAAGTCAGACCATCATGGTGTTTACCATTGTCACAATCATCTTCCTTCCCCTATCCTTCATCGCAGCCATGTTCACAATCAACATCCAAGAATTTCCGCACCGGCCCGGTAGCGACGAGCCTTCGCTTCCTCTCTCATTCGTCAGCAAATACATGTTCGGCATCGGCTTCGCCATCTCCATCCCGTTCATCGCCATCGCGCTCTCATTCGACGCCATCGGAGACTTCTTCCGCGAAGTCAAGCGCCGCTTCCGCGAGCGCAAGGCCCAGAATCGGCAGAGCCGGCATGATTTCAACGACGCTTATAGCGGGATCGAGAAGACTGACTTTGAGTACCCCTTCGATACACGCACTATTGAACAGGCTTTGAGTCGCGGGCGTAGTACGGCATACCGCCCCGACGGCAGGCGCAGCATCGAAAGCTATCTCGGCAGTGCGAGAGCGAATCACTGGGGTGATGGCGGCTCGCTGCTTCCTGTTGCTAGTCGCAGTACGGGAAGGAGTCCCGAGAAGGGTGCTGTGAGGATTACGAATGGCTTGAATGGCACGACTGCGATGGCCAACCGGTTGAGTGTGGATAGGGCTGAGAGGCAGAATCCGATTGAGAGGATTAGTACCGGGTTTAGGATGAGAGGAAGCGGGGATTTTGAACGCGCGTAGATAGGGTGGTGTTGGGGAGGTTTGGAAAATGCGGATACCCTAGCGCTGTTATGTACCGTTGCTGATGAATGATTAAAGACACGTTACATTTTACGTTTTCTTTGCTTATATGGCGTGCTTGGTTCAACGCGGTCGGGCTACCACGAAAAGACCAAATATGGTTCGGTAGATGCTCAGGATTGGGTGGATGAAGGAGAGATGTGGGGATAGCGGCGGAGGCGATGGTACCGTGATGGGACATTGATGACGAGACGCACACGGCTACCGAAACGTATACCGTACTCGTAGGAAGGAACCAGAGAGAGAGAGAGAGAAGAGTCGCAAGCTCCAGAAATCCAGGCTGTCAGTGATCAGGATACAGTAAGAATGCCTCTTCTAATGTTGTGGCAGGAAAACTGGGCGTTGACGGCAGATCCCAACATCTGAACAATCGCTGGGCTCGTGGATATTGTGCGCTGTGTATACTCGGAGAGGGTGTAGGGGTCTCTATTAGAGAATTGTTAGGCAGGCAGAGCTTTGAGTAGCCTTATGGAATGAAGCTATGCATGATTTCATAACTCGTACGACTTGATGTATGTCTGTTGCAGCCTCGGTTGGCTGATACCCAGGTACGCGTCCGGACTAGCGTCGTGTTCCTTCGCGTCTTGTTGCCTGCAAGTTGATGACTCCGCCACAATTATCTTCTCGTCTCTGGGGATAAGAGGCGCTCGCGCCCCTAAAATTGAAGATGAACATTGGTTACATCTTGTGCTTACCAAATCCCAATAACTTCGCTTGGGACTGACAGTCTGTTTCATTAGCTACTGATCCGCAATGAAAATCGGTCATCATGACTCTTCACACGCACTGAAGCGGCGGATGTATGTTAAACGGTCTAAGTCTCGTGTATAGTAATATACGACTGACTGCAAGTAGGACACCTCAACGTCGGAAACCTGATCCCAAACCTGATCCAGTCGAGTACGCTTCACCCACTCCACGTAAGAACATACGTCTAATCGAACAACAACAGCCCGACCCGCTTACTTGCACTCCACGAAGAACATCGCCAATCTCAACTGAAATTCTGTACAGCTTTCCGCGCAGCCCTTCCTCGCGAATTGAGGGACATGGTCTACGATCAGCTTATCACTCCCCGCAGGCAACATTACGTTGTTGATTGCCGTGAGGTAGACACTGGAATACGCTCAAGTCGATGTTTCCACCACGATCACGGTGGCCGATCTTTCTTCGACGCTCAAACACCTCTACCCGAAGACCCTGCCATGCGTCGCGATTTGTGGAGATACTCCGAGTATACAGGGGAAACAGTTGCGAAAGAGATAGCAGAGCACTGGTATCGCACTGGCGGCTTCATAATGTACACCCCGGGTGCTTGCTTGCTAGGAAGTTTCCTCACGCAAGATGTCTGGAAAAGAGGAATCGTGCCTGCCGATATCATCCGATACATACGCATTGATCTCAGCTGGGATCAGATTTGGGGTGGCAGCTCGCGTGTTGTAGCTGATCTCGAGAACCTTCTTAGGTTGACTAACAAAGACATAGTAATCATCTTCCAGATAGATCATCATGCAGCTGATGAAGACTATCACCTCGAGCCCCCGCTGTGGCCTGTCCTGCGAAGTTTGTTGAAGGCGTTTGCGCCGAGTATTTATCGCTTGCGCGCTGCTGGGTTTGATAGGGTTAAGGTGTATCAGGGTGTTATTCGTAGGCTTTATGAGAAGTGGCCGTGGGATAGAAGTCATAGGGATATCACGAATTGGTTTGATCTGGAGGAGGATGAGTTTCGGGAGGTATTTTTGACGGTAGGTCGTGCTGTGCTGATGAAGTTGAGGATGTCTGCTGACGTGTGGGCCAGGGGAGTGGAGATGATGAGGAGAGTAAACAGCGTATTGCCGATGTCATATTGAAGGGTAGTGGCTAGAGAATATTGAAACTTCTGGAGACGTAGAAGACTGGGTCGAATTCATTAAGAAAGGAAAAGAGACGACAAGAAGTCCTAAAGAGATCTGTTATCCTGTAGACCGACGAAGGTTAGGACAATCTTGACTAAACACGTCAATGTCCAGTATTTGGCTCCACTCTCGAGGAAACTTGCATACCACAACCGCTGACATGATCAATCAAATGTCGTCTGCTCGTTTTTAGAGGCCTCCAAGCACGCAGAGATAAGAGCATCTATGTACGGCTCGTCCTGAAGCAGTCTTGACTTACACAGCTGCTTTTCATCTTCGGTCGCATGCTCATGAAAGTTACAGAGATCTTGTATCTCCTTTCGTAATTCATCCATCCCTTTGCCTTTGCTTGCAAGCTTGTGGTTGGCGTGCACAACTCCTACTAAGAAGTCTTGCGGCAGCTCTGCAGCCTCGAGTAGCGCTCGGTAAGGACCCGAGTATCTGCCCCAGTTCAGCGCAGCGCTCTTGATTAAGTATTGACAAATGGTAGAAGAAGGAGGTAATTCGTCGAAAACGAAAGCAATCGTTTCGGGGTTGGGAACCAAACCATCTTCCAAAATGTCGCTGAAGGCGCTGATAACGTCGTTGCGCAATTTGACGCACTCGTATGCATCCGCAAAGCAATAGAGATGGAAGAGACAGGTGAGAACTTTGTTAGTAGAGTCGGAAAGAGCATCCGATTCGACTGCATTTGTCTTGTTCGTCTTTTTACGCGTGTGTGATAAGACATCAGCGTTCAAAGATCGGGTCATGCGCGCTGAAGGGCTTATTAATGCTTTCACCGCACTAAGACCCGGAGGCGAACGAGCCATCTGAAGGTAGACCCAAGTCTGAAAGAGGCCGCAGATCGTCTCATGGGTCTCAGGAAGATGCAAGACGCCATCTCTGCCTTCTTTGAAATTGGGTCCGAATGCGCGAGAGAAGTACTCAGAGTGCCGGCGGAGGAGGTTCTTGTGAAATATGAAGGGTGTTTTATTGGCGCCCACGGTCACACGTACCGTTTCGCTTCCGAGATCCCTGATCTTGTCAGTAACTGTAAAGACTAATTGAGGGGTTGCTCTACATGATGCGTGCCTAGGAATTGATTGAGGGTGCTGCGTAATTGAAGCGGTTGAGAGGCAAAGTTGTCAGTTTCGGAGGTCGAGAAACCGAAAAACTAAGGCAACGAAGATCGAGATCAAATAATCGTGGTGCGAAGGGAAGGCGCAGTAGCAGGAGGGTTCCACCGCCATGGCATCGTGAATGCGCGGTCCTGTGCTGCAGACGTTCAGTAATTCCCATGTACACACCGTATTCCACCGTGATCAGTCTTGCAGCTGCCTGCAAAGTATTAGAGATCTACCTTTCATTGATGGTCTAGAGAAGTGGGGTTGTAGGACAAGGTCAATCGAGTGCCAAACGCGAACTCACATGACGCGACGCCAACGCCGGCTTATCTCCGCTCCATCGCCGAAGTCCAAGCTCCAAGCTTAGGCGTCACCGTCACCACCAAGCAGGTGCGCCAACAGCTACAGCCGAAGCCGCAGCAGAGTGAGAAGGAGCACTGAGACAGCGGGTGATCGCGCAAACAATGACTACGAGCCCACGATAGCTGAGAGCTACATCCCAAGCCCACCATGGCTTACGACACCTCGAGCGGTTATGCGCCGCCCAGCACAAGCAACATGCAGGAGGACGCCTCGGGCCCCATGTTCAGCATAGAGCGCGTGGCTTTACAATTCACAGTATCTTCCGACTTCGTAGCGGCTGCAGTAGCAAATAATGTCGTCGTCCTGGCTCTGTCCACCGGGCGCATCTTACGCATCGATTTGGACAGTCCCGCAGATATAGACGGTTCGTATAGCAATGCACACACCACCCGAAAGACTTGGACAACCGCTCATATATTACAAGATATCGACCTCCCGAAGAAGCCTTCAGAAGTGGGTGTCATCAGACGCCTCTTTCTCGATCCCTCCGCATCCCACCTCATCATAACCACCACCCTCGCCGAAAACTACTACCTCCATACACAATCCCGGACACCGAAGGCGTTGTCACGGCTGAAGGGCGTTGTCATAGAGAGTATCTCGTGGAACCCCTCGCAACCCACTGCTTCGACGCGCGAGATACTCGTGGGAGCGTCAGACGGCAACGTTTACGAGGTGTATATCGAGCCGTCATCCGAGTTCTACAGGAGGGAGGAGAGGGTAACGTAGCTGCCACGGATAGTTCTTAAAATATCTTGCTAACTTTTTACTAGTATGTATCTCCTATGCTATGCTTTGGCAACGCGGTTCTAAGACATCTTATTATTCGTACTAACAGCTTGATAGATACTTGAAGAGCGTATACCGGACGAACGATGGCCCTATTACTGGGCTGTGGACAGATACGGTGCCCGGGAGAACGGATCTGCGGCGCATCATCGTCGCGACACCTTCGACTTTCCTACATTTCGCTGGCAAGGTCGGACGTCAGGGATCAGAGGGAAGCGGATCTATATTCTCGAAGCTGTTCGAGAGCGAATCTGCGACCGTACATGAGGTCTCCAATGTCGCCCCCACGGCAGCCTCGCTGCTTGCTATCTCCCCGGAGCACAACGACAGCCCAAGCCGCGAGGACTCCAACGCCGAGAGGATCTTCGGCTGGCTTACATCACAAGGCATTTTGCATGGGAAGCTGTATCTATCACAGGATACTTCTGAGCTTGGCGGCAAAGTTCTTGGAGACTCAAAGATGTTGCCTAGATCACAGGTGCCGCCTTCACAAACCGCTAGCGGGCGCACACGACGGACACAAGATCCTATCAGTTCGATGATACTGAGCCAGTGGCATATTCTTCAGCTAGTCGAAGGCCGAGTCGTAGCTATCAACCGCCTCGACGACACTGTTGCCCATGACCAAGTTGTGCTGGAGCCCGGACAAAGTGCGCTTGGTCTGGTAGCGGACTGGAAGAGGAATACTTACTGGCTCTTCACGAGCCAGGAGATCTTCGAGATCGTTGTCGAAGACGAGAGTCGCGATGTTTGGAAGATCATGCTCCGAGCACAACAATTCGAGGCTGCATCGCAGTACGCCAAAACACCAGCGCAGAAGGATGCAGTGGCAACGGCATCTGGTGACTACCTTGTTGGCAAGAGCCAGTGGATGGAGGCTGCGACTGTTTACGGACGAAGTACGAAGCCGTTTGAGCAAGTCGCGCTGACATTCATCGACAATGGCGAGCAGGACGCGCTACGGAAGTACCTGGTGACGAAACTGTCCACATTGAAGAAGTCATCGATAATGCAACGGACTATGGTCGCTACTTGGTTGATTGAACTATACATGGCCAAGCTCAATACTCTCGATGACACCATTACCACGAAAGCAGAACTCTCAGAGAGCATGAACACCGCCGAGACTCATGATCAACTATCAGTCATCCGGAAAGAGTATCAAGACTTTGTAACCAAGTACAAGGCTGATCTTGACCGTAAGACTGTATACGAGATCATCAGCAGTCACGGTCGAGAGGAAGAGCTGCTCTACTTTGCTACTGTGGTCAACGACTACAACTACGTACTCTCGTACTGGGTGCAGCGTGAGCGTTGGCAAGAATCTCTGGACGTCCTCAAGAAGCAGACAGATCCCGAGATTTTCTACAAGTACAGCTCTGTGCTCATGGCCCACGTACCAGTCGAGCTCGTCGATGTGATGATGCGACACTCGAACTTCGACGCGCAGAAGCTCATCCCAGCATTCCTCAACTACAACAACCACACCAAGGCCACGCTGAACCAAAACCAAGCAGTCCGCTACCTTCTCTTCGAGATCAACCAACACAACTCAACCGACGCCGCCATTCACAACACCCTCATCTCCATCTACGCCTCCCACCCCACAACCGACGAATCCGCCCTCCTCGCCTACCTCGAAGGCCAATCCCTCGCCCACGAACAAAACTACGACGCCGACTTCGCTCTCCGCCTCTGCATCCAACACAAGCGCGTCCAATCCTGCGTACACATCTACAGCTCTATGCAACAGTACGCACAAGCCGTCGACCTTGCCCTAAAATACGACTCCATAGACCTCGCCTCTAGCGTCGCCGACCGCTCCAACACCTCCCCTGTTCTCCGCAAAAAACTCTGGCTCGCCATCGCCAAAAAAGTCATCTCGCAATCCAGCGGCATAAAAACCGCTATCGAGTTCCTCCGCCGCGTCGACCTCCTCCGCATCGAAGACCTCATCCCCTTCTTCCCAGACTTCGTCGTCATCGACGATTTCAAAGAGGAAATCTGCGCCGCCCTCGAAGACTACAGCCACAAGATTGATGGCTTGAAGCAGGAGATGGATGACAGTGAGGCGACGGCTACGCATATCAAGTCGGATATCAAAGCCCTCGAACAGCGTTATGCGATTGTGGAACCCGGGGAGAGGTGCTATGTGTGTGGGTTGCCGTTGTTGGCGAGGCAGTTCTTTGTGTTTCCGTGCCAGCATGCTTTTCATAGTGATTGTCTTGCGAAGAGGGTCGTTGAGCTTGCGGGCATTGCGAGGGGAAAGAGGATTGCGGAGTTACAGGCGGAGGTGCAGAGGGGGGTCAAGGTGGGGAAGGGGAGGGAGAGGGCGATTAGGGAGTTGGATGCGTTGGTTGGGAGTAGTTGGTGAGTCTTCCCTTTCTGCTGTCACCTCAATTTCGGGAAAACCTGAATAGGTCCGGAGCCTACATCCACGTTGGGGCACCTACTTTGCAGGTTTCCATGTCGATGTAGGCTGCAGGCTTGTTCAGTTTTTCCCTTGTATGAGGTGCTGTTTTCTTGTTTGCTGTGCTAACAACGTGTTTTAGTGTGTTATGTGGTGAACTTGCCGTTAAGCTCGTCAACGAACCTTTCATCACCGCAACGGACGACAAGGACGAATGGGCTGTTTAGTAGAAAAACTGAACACCCAGGAGCCTACGTTGACCCTGGGCCACCTACTCTGCGTGGTTTTATCTTGATGTAGGCGTCAGGGTCTTCAGGATATGCCTAGATTAACGTGCAGCTTAAAGAAATCGTCATCAGCACCAAAGCAAGCAAATCATACAAAGCAGTCGTATTGTACATTTTACTTTCAATTGCATCTCTATAAGCCCCCGCCCCTGCATGTGGTGGTATACAAATTTTAGTAGTGCCGTACGATAAAACGGAGCTGATGATATGATTCCCCCATTGTCTGCCTCCCCCCGGAGACGCCGTAGCGCTGATGCAAGAACTAAGAAGAAAGGAAGAATAAGAGGCAACAAGAAAAAAGGATTAGACGGATAACTTCAAACGAACGCCAGATGGTGATACTTTTTCCAAGACTGTTGGCCTTCGCCATGGAACGACAAGCGATAACGCTACTCATCCTCATCATCGTCCATGGCGGTGTCACCATTAGCTTTCGGGGCGGCGATAGCGTCATCGTCTTCATCCTCATCGTCGACGACGCGGGCTTTGCGGGGACGAGGCGCAGCAGCTGCGGCACCTTCGTCGTCGCTGCCCGCCGTGCCATCAGCCTTGTCTCCGTCTTCAGCGGGCGCGGCACCATTCTCGTCGCTCTCATCGTCGATGAACTCCGCGGACTTGTATTTACCGACTGGTTCGCTCTTGCGGGCGAGCTTCCTCTTCTTCTTCTCGCGGGGCCGCTCTTCGTCGGATAGGTCCTCGGTGCCACTGGCTGTCGTCCGTCTGCGTCTTGAGCGTGGCTCGTCGTCGTCGGAAGGCAGGCCGTCGGTGTCGGAGTCGGCGTCCTTCTTCTTGCGCTTCGGGCCCTTGGGTCCACGTGCTTTGCGCTCTGCTTTGCGGACTTCCTTGTCTTCGTCTTCTTCCATGCGGCGACGCTCTTCTTCGTTGCGCTTCTCCATGAGTTCGCGGTCGCGCTGGAGGAGGCGCTGTTGCTCTTCTGCGTACTTGCGCTTCTTCTCTAGGGCCTCTGCTTCTGCGCGTGCCTTTTCTTCCTCGCGGCGGCGCACTTCGGCTTCGCGGATGCGGCGCGCTTGGTCAAGCTTGGTTGCGTTTTCGCCTTCGTAGGCGGCTTGCTTCTCGCGGGTACGCTCGAGCTGCTTGACCATGGTGTTGCGACCCATGTTTGCACGAGCGGTAATGTCGGCACGTGGGAAGGGCGGGTTCTCCTCCTTGGTGAGCTTCTCAAGTGTTTCAATTGCCTCATTGAGACCTGTGACGGCTTGGTCGACGTCTTCGAGCGTGCGCTGTTGTTCGGTGAGCTGGTAGATTCGGGTGGCGATCTGGAACTGGACGAAGGCGACGTTGAACTGAGAGTTGAGGTCTGCAGGAGCGGCCGCGAGCGCTTGCTTTGAGTAGTCGAGAGCAGTGCGGAATCCGGCGATGCTGTTTTCATGCTTGGCTCGAAGATACCAGGTTCGTCCTAAACAAGCCAGGATCTTTGGGTCGTTGTGTCTGTTCCGGGATAGGGCTGCTTCGTACTTGGATGTGTCAGCAAGGTTAACAACGTAGTGATGGGAGTGAGCCTACGTTTTCAATTGCTCGCGCATACTGCTTGATCTCGCAATACGTATGTCCCAAGTTGACAAAGACACTGTGATCCTTGAGTGTTTCTCTGACCTTTGAGAAGATCTGCAGGGCTGTGGAGTAGTCCTTCTTGTCTTCTACTAGCGCAATGGCAATACCCTGAGCAGCATACGCATTCTTCGGATCGAGTTGGAGCACCTTGTCGAAGAACTCCACAGCTCGTTCGTAGCTCTTCCGACGCTTCTCTTTATCTTGTTCTGAACTTCGTGGCATCTCGCGCGCGATAGCAAGATGGATGTTGCCCATGCCCATTAGCGAATAGCGGTCATGCTTGTCCGACTTCTGCAGAGTGTGTTTGTATAGTCGCTGCTCGTCGTCCGCTGCGAAGTTGGAGGTCTTCTTCTTCGACTTGTTGACATACCACCCGTACAAGGCTCGCACCTCAACATTGTCCTCGTTCTCTTTGAAGAGATCTTTCATCGCCCTGGGTCCCTCGTCTTGTGGGTTCTCCCTCAACGCAATGTAGGTAAGGCGAATGCGCGCATCGACATAATCGGGGTGTCGCTGAAGCAGACTGTTGTAGACCTTCTTTGCCTCCTCCGCTTGGCCCTCGGCTTCGTAAGTTCGGGCAAGGTTGAAACTGATCGAGGTAACGAGTGCGTCCGTATCGATTGTGTCGTCGCGGTTCTCGGCGTTTACGCAGGCGTTGAGGGCCACCTGGAAGAGTTCCTGAGCTCGCACGTAGCGCTCGGCCTGGAAGTGGAAGCAGCCCATATTGTTAAGCAGTTGTGGAGGTAGGAGTTGGCGAAGTGCCGCTGTGAGTTCAGCACCTTCCTCGACGCCCTCTGGATAATCTTCCTCTGGAATGGCTTCAATCTCCATTTGCTCCACTTCTTCCAGACACTTCAAGCTCTTTTCAGGGTGATCGGTCTCGTAAAGTCGAGCCAGGTTGAGCAAAACCGACTGGTCAGGGACGACCTTCTTCTTGGGATCCTTCCATGCGCTCTGTACGCTCTCGAGATATTTCAATGCCTTTTTCAACTCAGCGGATTTGTCCTCGGTGGACTTGTTGTTCTGAGCGGTAAAAACGTCCTCAGCGAACAGAGTACCAAGTAATGTCTGGGCTTCAACGTTGGGCGATTGCTGGAGGATCTTCTCGAGACGGAATTTGGCGCCATCGTAGTTGTTCATCAGGACGTTCATCTGAGCCAGTCCGAACTTGGCTGGTATGAAACCCCTCTCCTCGCCTCCGCGGGCCTGATCAGACTTCTGGTAGTACTCGGCGGCAAGTGAAGTGTTGTCCTGTTGATGCGCGACCTTGGCTCGTAGGTACCAACCATCGCTCGCTATGGCATTGGTGTCGGTGAGTTCAATGGCGCGTTTCGCTACGTCTTCGGTTTTGGCGACATCTCTCCTCAGGGCAAGGTAGCTACCGACTGTGGCACAACTCAGGGGGTACTGGTTGTCGATCTTCAAGGCGGGCTGAATGTATTCACCAGTCGCCTTCTTGATGAGTGCGGCGAACTTGGGGTCGGAGGTGGAGAGGTTGGCGGTCTGCTGGAAGTTGTAGATGCCCAGTAGAATCAAGGCGATCTTGGAACTTGGGTTGAGCTCGAGAGATCGCTGCCAGGCGCTCGCTGCCTCGTCCTTGTGGCCAAGTTGCCAGAAACAGCAGCCGATACCGATGCGTGGATCTGGATCGAGGAGATCCGGAGAGCTCTCGAGGATGTTTTGGTATCCCTTCAAGGCTTCTGCCCACTTGCCCATGGAGTAGTGGACGCGGGCCTTGCCCATCTTCGCCATGAGGTTCCTGCCGCCGGATGCCCTCAGCGCGTCCTCGAAACATTTGGCTGCCTGCTTGAGCGTCTCCATGCGCTCGGGGCTGACAGTGGAGCCAGCCGCAGTCGCCGGGCCCTGGAGTGAGGCCCTGAGAAGGTATAGGACACCGCGAGCGAGGAACAGCGGAGGGTGCGAGGGGCTGATACGGGAGGCATCGTTGAGTACGCCGGTGGCCGACTGGATCCAGTACTCTTTGAGTTTCACGTCTGAATCTGCGTTTTCTGGACGTGTCAGTTATGGTACACATGGAGAGATTCCGATGACATACGAGGCCTAACGCGCGGTGCTTCGCGACATTTGAGCAGGTACAGCCAGCAGAGGCCGTTGAGAATGCTGAGCCTGTCTTCGCCGCGCGCGCGGTTGAAGACTTGGGTGGCCTGGCGCAGCACGTCTATGGCTGTCTCTATCCTCTTGCGCTTCGCATAGGCGACGGCGACCTGGACCCACGTCGACGTCGCGCTCTTCTCGGCCTCTAGAATATCGCACAGCTCGGTCGGGTCGTCCTGGATCTGCTCGTCTAGGGGGATTTCGACATCGAGCTGGCCTCCCTCCTCATCGGCGACGGAGATGGTGATGGAGCTGGGCACGTCCGAGTAGCGCGGCGGTGGGAACATGCTGCCAGCGCCGTTCACGCCATTCGCGCCATTCGCGCCATTCGCGTAAACTGCAGCCATGCTGGGAGAGAAGTCGCGATCGGGGAGATTGGATTCGCGATTGGTTCGGGGACGAGACGGGATCAGCGCGACATAGCAGGTGGGGAGGGCAGAGAAGTAAAGGCGCGAGGCTGAGGGCTGCCTCCGTTGGTGGTTGGATAAAGAATCGCGAGTGAGAGCTTCCAGGGAGCGCGGAACGGCGAAACGTGCGGAATCAATCTCTTGGCGCGTGTATGAGGCGTGACGGCAGCGAGACAACTTTTATATGAGAGTTTTTGCTGAATGACTACAAGTCGTCATGATGAATTCTTGAATTGCTAGATATCGCAATATAATTCACCCTGCATCATATTATACTTGCGTGTTCATGTTCGGCCCTGGCATTCATAGTAGACTCGCGTTGGTGATCCCTGCTGCTACTCCAACACCCCCGAGCTCCCCGCAACAGTACACATGCACCACATGGACACCCAATGACGCGCAATCCTCACTGTTGCGCACCATGCATGCCCAAATAAGCCACGCACGGAACACAACACTGCGCGACGTCTGAGTGCACCATGTCGCGCAATCCGGGCTACTCGCGGGCGGGACCCCATGGAGGCTATGCCAACGGTAACGGCAGCTACAACGGAGGAGGATATAATGGATACGGCGGCGGCGACGGCAGCTACGACGGCCGACCGAGCGGCGAGCGAGCGCGAAGACCAGGCGGATACGGCGGCATGAGCGCGCAGCAGGACGACTACCCACCCCGACCGAGCAATGAGCGCGAGCGGCCCCGACGACCCGGTGGCTACGGCGGCCTTGCCCAAGAAGACGAGATGGAGAGGAGGCCCAGCGGCGACCGAGAGCGCAGGGCGGGCGGCTATGGGGGAGGTGGTTTTGCAGGGCGTGACGAGAGCCCTCGCCAGGTCACACGGCCTACCAGCATCGAGCGCAGCCAGGCGAAGCGACGCAGTGGAGAGCGCCAGAATGGGAGCCGCCCCAGGAACGCAAACAACGGACAAGGCAGCCAGGCAATCGAGGAGGTCCTCCAATATATACGGCAGAATTGGGATTTCATGACCAAAGACCAATGCGTGCCCATCGAAGTCGCCTTGAAGCTCATGGACTCAAGTTCGCTCGGTCTGGCAAGTCAAGCTGGCCAGTTTCAGCAGACACACGACCAGCTGCAGAATGCGCTCAAAGGCATCGTCAACGAGCACCACCAGGGTTTCAACAGTTCCATCGGTACCTTCCATCAGATCCAGTCCAGCCTGCAAAGTTCCCAACACCGTGTCAGGACCCTCAAAGGCTCGCTTGTCGCGGCCAAATCATCCCTCTCTACCGCCAAGCCAGAGCTCAGAGAGTTTGCGACCACATCCCAGAACTACGATGAGATGCTACAGATGCTCGACACGATTGAGAAACTGCAGCTCGTCCCCGAGCGGCTGGAGGCTCGCATATCGGAGAAGCGTTTCTTGACAGCAGTAGACATCCTACAGGATGCGCTACGCATGATACGGAAGACTGAGATGGAGAAGATTGGCGCCCTATCAGACTTGCGTACATACCTCAGCAACCAGGAAGTGTCTCTGACCGACATCTTGATCGAAGAACTCCATAGCCATCTCTACCTCAAATCGCCCTACTGTGAAGACAGGTGGAAGGAGTATGCCCAGAACCAAGTCAAGGGCGACCTGTCTCAGCGTGCACAGACTGATGCGAGGGGTCGGTTGCTCTACTACTTCCTCGATGGCCTTGATACTTCTGAACCAGTATGTCTTCCAATATCAAACACATACCCCACTAACACTTCTAGATGACCGATGACTCCACCCACAACCCCGAAACAGACACATTTCAGTACATACGGCTGGTGATGGAAGCATTGAACAAGATGAGCCGCCTAGACATGGCAGTAGACACCATCGAGCAACGCCTACCGGTCGAGCTCTTCAAGGTTGTCGACAAGTCTAACAACGAGGTCGCGCAACGGCACCCGAGCATACTGCGAGCTTACTCCGCCAAGAAGAAAGGCAAGGCAAAGACTGAAGTAGAAAACGAGGATGTTCGAACAACTTTGTTAAACGACTTGATGTGGACCCTTTATGCACGGTTCGAAGCAATTGCGGAAAGCCACCGAGTTGTGCACGATGTTGTGGCCGGCATTGTCCGTCGGGAGAACCGAGGTGCATCAAGTGCGACGTTGACCCGCGGCTTCAAAGAGTTGTGGAAGCTCTATCAAAGCGAGGTTGGTTCTCCGCAGTACTGCACATGCTGCCTGGCTGACAGAATCTAGATGCGATCACTGCTTCACGACTATCTTGCTACCGATGGCGAAGCGTCTTACAGAGGCGGTCAAGGCCAGGCATCTACTGGCAGCGCATTCTCTCGCGCTCCTCGGGACCGGAGCAAGCGCATGTTCAAGCTATCCGACGTGGATACAAAAGCGTCTGAGCTCTCCAAAGAGCGAGACGATCTTGAGGTCATCCTGAAGACATCTGTTCCCGGACTTGTATCTGACTCAAAGAGACCAGAGGATGTCAACACCAACACGGCTACCAATCTCGATGGCAGTGCGACTGGGCACAAGCTGCTCGTTGAGCCTAGTGTGTTCAACATGGGCATACTATTACCGCCATCATTAGACTTCCTGAACCGGTTGAAGGAGGTTGTACCCTCAAACGCTGACATTAGCATGAGCACTTTGACCTCATTCTTGGACGATTTCCTAGTCAATGTTTTCCACCCGCAGCTCGACGAGACCCTCATCGAGTTATGTTCTCAGACCTTCATCGAGGTTGACTCCTTCAATGAGGACACTCAATGGTCGAAGCACTCAAAGAAGCCCATTTTCAAGGTACGTTCTCCATTGGTTATATGCTACTCTTGCTAACTCAACAGGGTACTGCACAATTCTTCACACTCATCACAGCTTTCTGCAAGATGCTGGATAACCTTCCCCACGACCAAGCGTTCTCCCAACTCATCGTCAATCAAATGGACACATACGCTCAGAAGTGCACTGGCTGGTATAAAGCCCTCGTCAGTCGATCACAGGCTACAGCAAGTGGTCGTCTAATGAAGGCTCCTGCCGTATGGTCAGAGTCCGAAGCAATGGAAGACCTCATCGCCCATCTGGTGCGAATAGACTCGTCCGACCAAGAGAGCTTGAACAAGGCCGTCGAAAGTGAAGTTGCTCTTTTGATCGAAGCAGTCGAAGCCGATGAGCCTCTAGATCAAGCGGACATGATACAGGACAAGAAGAGTATCGTCAGTTTATGTTTGCTATACACAAGCATGAAGTGGCTGGCCACTAAGACCGCCCAATTACGGCATATTAGTGATCGTGCCTCTGACCCGATCAACGCTGAGTCGAGTGGCCAGAGGCACAATAGACGATGGACGCAGCTCTCCTCTGCCGACCCCAGGCCGCAGAGCGCTCATATTTACCTCCCACTGAGCGCAGATACAGCCGCGTAAGTGTCTCGACATCCATGAAAGCCGTATCTTACTAATCGACGAGCAGTATCTTCGACGCGGTAGTAGGAACCTACCAAGCCCTCAGCACGCGCGTACTTCGCACCCTGCACCTCTCCATACGATCAACAATCCTGTACTCGCTCAACGCAAGCATCCAGCCCAACATCTACATCGACACTCTACTCAGCGACCCCGACCCCGCCATCCTAGCTCTAAACGCCACGCTCGTCTCCTTCGACACCGAAGTATCAACCTACATACCCACCGCCTCATACGTGCACATCACACGCGGCCTCGCAACTCTAATGGACACCTACCTCCTCAACCTCTGCACCTCCAAAATCACACGCATGAACACCAACGGCTGCGCGCTGATGCAACTCAACATCCTCGTCCTGCAGCAGAACCTCAAGAACATCGAAGACGGTGCCACTCTGCCCTACGCAGCCCTCTTCTTCGATCTCTTCACCGCAGGCCCAGATGCGATTATCGCTCGGGCCAAAGACTACGGTAAAGGCTTCGGTGTTCCCGGCGACGTGTTCGGTGAAGAGGAAGTGAAGAAGCTGTTGCAGATGACGTATGAAGAGAAGTTGAATGCTGAGAATAGGGAGGCTAGTGTGCAGGCGAAGAGGGCGTTGGATGCGCAGTTGTTGGAGATTAGTGAGTTTATGTATTAGATATGCGTTCAACTACTTTCCAAGGTTGTTCAGTGGCGACGTTCTTTTCAGGAAAGACTGTTGTAGCTGTAGTATCACCTTGGCTATAGTGGCGAATTCAAACATGACTTTTATCTTTAGCCCATACACAGCAATAGATCTGACATGCAGCATGTCAGCACGTTTTGGGAACTCGTGCAGCAGCATACATAGCCAAGACGGCGTCCGGGGCCGTACCCACTCCAAATCGTTGCAATCAAATCACCAGGAGCGCGAATACAAGAAGATGCGCTTGGGGTCATGCAAGCCCGGTGAGTCGCTTAGATCTACGCCCCTGTCATCTTCGGCGACGTTGTACGCGCACGGACGCCGCCTCGTGCGACGTCGCCGAACTGCTCATAAGGCTGGCCCAGTGATAGGGCTTCAGCTACGCCGCGGAACAGCGCGTTTTGCTGACATGATGTAGTATGATGGTTTTGTGGAAGGCTTTCACCGCTTCGTTATCGGGGTAGATGTACAGGCGTTCTGCAAGAGTGTAACGCTGTCTAGGTGCTTGCGGGACCGAATCTATTGTCAAAGGAAAGAACTGGAGTAGGTAGGAGTAGGCATGATACTACGCCGCACCGCACTGCAAGGAGACCTTCCAACAAGACCCTGAATCCGGCGTCTAATACTCAAACATACTGCATCCTGCATCCCAATCTTGTACGAGCGAATCACAAACACAACACCCACATACCATTCATCATCGCTTCTGCACGCCACGCTTCATCACCCACACTCGCTTAGAACCGTTCGATACAGGCGTGCAGATACCCGTCGGAAGACAGCTTCCAGCCACAAGATTATGCTGATCTCACTTGATGATGGTGTAAGGGCGTTTCCTACCTGAGGTGTGCATGCATGTGAGGTGGCAGATCTCGGCGCCGCATATCGCAGATTTCAGGCCACCCCTTACGGTGACCTGGATTGATTGTTGTCGCCGATGACAGTTTGTGATATCGGACCGTCGGGGTCTTCGCAGCGGGCTGTGGGTTGTCGGGGTTTGGGGGCGTGAGTGTATCGGGGGGCAGACGCATGTTATATGCTTGCGGGCTGCCCTTTCTTTGTTGGATTGTACTTGGCTAGCTCTTACGGATTTCGTGCGCAATAAGTGTACCTTCACTTAGCTTCCCACCCAAAACAAAGGCATCACGAAGCATTGATCAGTTCCGCGAGTTCAGTCATGTCTTCAGCTAGTACTGCGGAGGACGTTGAGAAGGCTGCTTCAGGCACTGAATATGCGCATCTAACCAACGATGAAGTCAAAAGCTTCAGCTGGGAGAACATCACTGTCACGGTCAAAGATAGGACGTCTAAACAGCCAATTGATCTCCTATCCAACGTGAGCGGCATGATCGAAGCCGGAGAGATGATGGCATTGATGGGTCCAAGGTACGTCCAGGATATCACAGCCTTGCGAACAGCTGTCTAACAGGAATCACACAGTGGCTCTGGTAAGACGACTCTTCTCAACATCCTCGCTCATCGCGCCGCCATACCCAAAGCCACCATCCAACAAACACTTCGAGTCAACGGCGCGCCAAAAACCCTATCCTCCTTCCGCAAACTAAGCAGCTACGTCGAGCAAGAAGACGCCCTAATCGGTTCCCTAACCGTCCGCGAAACACTCTACTTCGCTGCTCAGCTCGCCCTCCCAAGGTAATCGACATGACCCCTCCCTATCCCAAAGCATTCTAACTCACCACCCCCAGCTCCATCCCCCCCTCCTCCCGCAAAACCCTCATAACCTCCCTCCTAACCTCCTTCGGCCTAACCCTCCAATCCAACACCCTAATCGGCACCCCCATCCGCAAAGGCGTCTCCGGCGGCCAGAAACGGCGTGTCAGCGTCGCTAGCCAACTCATCACGTCCCCCAGAATCCTCTTTCTAGATGAGCCGACCAGTGGCCTGGATTCGGCGGCGAGCTACGAAGTCATCAAGTTTGTACGCGATATAGCGAAGAAGTACAGGATTTTGGTGGTGGCGAGTATACATCAGCCGTCTACGGCGACGTTTCGGTTGTTTGATAGGTTGATGTTGTTGAGTGGGGGGAAGGTGGTTTTTAATGGCGGGGTTGAGGGGGTGAAGGGGTGGTTTGGGGGGTTGGGGTATGAGGTACGTTCTGTTTTTCTTACCATTACCATACAGTATTGAGGGAGTAAGGAGCTGACATATTTACGCTTTGTGTAGATGCCACTCTACACGAACCCAGCCGAATTCGTCATCGACCTCATCAACACAGATTTCTCACACGACAGCACCACCGCCCAGCAACGCCTCACCCACCTCCACACCTCCTGGGCTACTTCCCCTGCCGCAGCATCCCTGACCGCCAATATCCGTGCCGCCGCCGAAACAGCTTCATCTACCCCCATCACATCCTCTCCAACCGCCTCCAACACCCCCACTTCCGCCCTCCACACCACCCTAACCCTAACCCACCGCTCCTTCCTAAAATCCCACCGCGACATCGTCGCCTACGGCATCCGCATAGCCATGTACCTCGGCCTCGCGATAATGATGGGCACAGTCTGGCTGCGCCTCTCCCCGACCCAATCCAACATCCAAGCCTTCACCAACGCCATCTTCTTCGGCGGCGCCTTCATGTCCTTCATGGCCGTCGCATACATCCCCGCGTACCTCGAAGACCTCGCCATCTACAGCAAGGAACGCGCAAACGGACTGTACGGCCCCACGGCGTTTATGCTGAGTAACTTTGTCGTGGGCGTGCCGTATCTGTTCCTCATCACCATACTGTTCAGCGTGGTGAGTTACTGGTTAGGCAATTTCCGGCCCGGAGCCGACGGCTTCTGGATGTGGGTGCTGTGGTTGTTTTTGGATTTACTCGCCGCGGAGTCTCTAGTCGTTCTTCTTTCGTCGCTCATACCCATCTTTGTTGTTGCGCTTGCGGCGACGGCGTTTGCGAATGGCCTTTGGATGTGTGTGAATGGGTTTATGGTGCAGCCGGATACGTTGAATGTGTTTTGGAGGTATGTTTTTCATTATATCGATTATCAGGCGTATGTCTTTCGGGGGATGATGGTTAATGAGTTCGGGAAGAGGAGTTATGAGTGTGAGAGGTTGGAGGGTGGGGGGTGTCAGTGTATGTATCCGAGTGCGTTGCAGGAGCAGTGTTTGGTGGATGGGAAGGCGGTCCTGGCGGTTTATGGGTTTGGAACGGGGCATACGGGGAAGTATGTGGGGTATTTGCTGGTGATTGTTGTGGTTTATAGGTTGTTGGGGTGGGCGGTTTTGTATTTGCGGAAGCATTGAGGTGGGCGGCGATGGTAATCCTTGTTTTGCGTTCTTTGCTTGAATCCTCGTAGATTAGATGAGACAAAATTGCTGTCGTTTCCGGATTCCTTTCTCTATCTCTTCGATCAATTCTCCATTCATGATCTCGTCCTTGTACACTTGGCCTAAGAGAAGATAGTTCTCACCCCGTGGTCGTAGCGCAACTGGCGTATATGCTCCTTCTAGGGCCACGATAAGATCTCCTTCTCGTAGACAGACAGGTCCGAGGCCATAAGATCCGTCCTTGGTACGAAACAATGCCCATTTATGGAAGAAGCGGGACACAAGAGCTCCAAAAACTTTCCAACCAGTTCCAGCTTGACAAAAATCGTACTTGATTGTGCCATCTTCTCTTACATGTTTGGAAAGTACATATAGCAATCTGATCCAATCTAAGAAACTCTGTAAATATTCCGACACGGTTTCTTCGCTCGCTTCGTAGTAACTAATTTGGTGTCTGACCTGTCCTCCAGTCAATGTCCGTGCCATAGAGATCATGGCGGGACTCAGATCTCTGCCCGTTGGGGCTTCTTCGGATACCTCCTGCCGCCAGTACTCGAGAAGTATATCGACCGGGTATTCCAGAATAAGCTTCGTACTTTCAAGTCGACCTACACAGCTGAGGTCTGAAAACCTTTCTTGCACTATGATTGCGCAGGAAACAGTTCCATATACTGAACCGCATACCACAATTTGCCGGCTACGTGGCTGTGTGATACCCTCGTTCGGCGCAGTAAACTCATATGTTCCGTATGCGCTGGACGTAGGGGACAGCCCGCCCATCATCTGATCATGTGATACAGACTGCCACTGATTCCATTGGGGAACCCAAGACTCGTATTCTGGATGGCCGTCGTAGTCCACATCTTGGTAGACGTGGCCAAAGATTGCAAGATCGCTAGTCCATCTAATAATTGCTGTGGCAGCGTCGTGGAAAACCTCTGCGACAGACTTTTCGTAATCAATGGGAATAATGGTCCTTTCGTCGCCTAGCTCTCTCAGCCCTAGTATACCATACACCTTGTCTCGAGGGTCCGTAGCATGCCAACGCCTGTAAGTGCTGAGAGCTTGTAAAAGACGACATTTGTCCGACGACAGTGGACCGTTCATTTTCCAGGGATAAGTCACGGAGGTTGTAATGAAGACCGGTCCTGAATGTCGACTACGATTCATGTGCCAGCTCGCTAGACGTAATGCAGTATACTTCGAGAGTTCTTCGGTTCCCCAGTAGTATGCCAAATTAGTTGCCAGTCTGAACTCTTGTATACATCACATGCGACGAAACCAAGGATTAGAAAAAAAGGCTTGCAGTGAATACCATGGTAAGGAAGCGCCAAAAGCTGCGCCTGCGTCTGGTAAGCGCCAATTGGAATCGTAATCCTCCGGATCACCATCGATCAGTTCCAAAGATTCGAAAAAACGCTTAACCTTTGAGGCGTGCTCATCCTCGTCGTTGCCAAGCCAAACAACGACGCGTTTGGCGCGAAGGTATATCAAATCCATGCGACGGACCTGCGAACTCTTCTCTTCATCGTCAGACTGAGCGATGCACAGTGCATCTGCCCAGACAATGCGCACCTCATTTGTCAGCCGCAACTTCACAAGCGCATCGTAGAGGCTCGCCGTCACCACGTGCGTTGTACCGTTACAGAGGATCTCACGTCGGTCGTTTGAGTCGCCCCAGCAGTAGGAGAGTGCTTCATATGCGGGATTATCGTCGACCTCGTACTGGCGAAGCTCGCATGAGATCGGGGACTCGAGGGTTTGAGAGGGTAGTATGTGTAGCAGGCGCATCTGACCATTCGATAAACGCGTCGGATAGAGCGTCTCCATCGCGCAGAAGCGCTCGCAGGTCGAGCGACTGGGGAGGGGACGACGATGCACAATCTAAGCAAGCGCAGCAAAAGAAGAGAAGCCAAAATGAGTAAGACGGAATCAGATGAGATAGCGGATGTTCTTCCCCGTGCGTTTCTGTAGTAATAATGGGTGCCACTTTGATGGATGTATTGTCTCAAGCGGGGTAAAATGGATGCCTCAAGGGGTGGAAGCAGCGGCGAACAGAGGCTAGCCCGTTCTGAGCCTAGCTCGCAAGTCCCCACTTCTAACCTGGAAGGTTTGGTGGGTGCATCTGGCCCGTCGATGCCCAGGAGGTCCTTCACTGGACAGCTCTTGCAAAATGACTCATTTTGTATCATGTCGCTACTGCGCACGGCCTCACAGGTTTGCACTCCCATAACGACTTTCAATATCGGAATACCGTGCAGCGATGATGTACAAAAGGCGCCGTGGCTGCCTCATTGTGCTTCCCAGCCACCTCTCAGGCTTCCAAAGGCTCCGCACCACATACGTCGGTCAACACAGTGTAGCGATATCAGCTTACCAGCATGGATCCCTACGATCTTACTAATGAAGAAGGCCTTCAGCAATACCTCGAAGCGAACCAATTCCCAGCAGCTAGCGTTCAGCTCCTCTCAGGAGGCAATGCAAATTACGTCTTCCGCGTCACGAAGCACGACGGCTCCACGAGCATCTTCAAACATGCAGAGCCTGTTCTGAAACTCAACAAGGACTTTGCACTCGATCCCGCCCGCATGGATTATGAGGTCCGGATTCTAGAAGCACTATCTTCCACGAAGAGCCCTCTACCCACGAGCCCTATCAACTCGCACGTACACGCGGCGAAGTTGTTGCACTATGACCGATCGGAAAAGCTACTCCAAATCGAGGATGGCGGTCGCCGTAACCTGAAGGACGCTTATACGGACCCGAAGCTCGATATGTCGTCGATTGGAGAGCAGCTTGCCAGATGGCTCACTGCACTGCATACTGCAGCAAGGAATTTCTCGCTCGCCTCACCAGATCAGGCTGCGGACAGCAATAACAATCCCATTGCTGTCAGCGTGTACCGTTACTCGTACAACGATCTGCACACCGCATTGACGCAGTTTGGTCACGACCCCCAGCTTGCCGATTTTGTCAACGAAAAGTTCGGCAGTCTACTCGCAACAGACGACGAGTGCATCTGCCATGGCGACTTCTGGCCTGGAAACATCCTCGTCCGAGACCTTGAGTTGCAGCTGGTTGAGCTGACCGTCGTGGATTGGGAGATAGTGCGTCGTGGTACCAGCGCAACGGATGTCGGTCAGTTCGCTGCCGAGGCATTTCTTCTTGATCGCTTTCGAGGTGGTAGAGGATTGCTCAGTGCGTTCTTGAATGCATATATCACAGCTCGTGGGCACGCAGAGGTGCTCGGCAAGGCGTGGCTGACGAGGATGGTGGTGCATTGGGCAGTTCACATTGCATTCTGGCCGACTAGAATTGCGTGGTCTGATCCGGAAGAGACTAGGTCGCTCGTTGATATTGGCGTTGCTACTTTGCAGAATGTCCTCAATGACGATTGGGAGAAGGTTCTGCAGTCACCGCTGTTGAGAGATGTGAAGGAAGCGCACTCTACGCTATTGTCTCGACCATGAGGTCTTTCAACGATGAAGATAATTCGTCAAGGGTTTGCAAGTTTTTAGCTCCAACGTCTAGAATTGAAAGCACCTGGGTGAATGTCTTGTTCCTAGTTATTAGTTACAATCCTGCCAGCAGACCCCACTCTGCTGATCACATGCTGAGGTGGGATGGAATTTGTACCTAGTGATAAGAACCTTCCACCCATCCCTTTGATCGCTTTGTTAAGCAAACAAAAGTCTTTCACGCGGATATATAATAACACATCATGGTCACCACCAACTATTATCTACCATGTCATCGACCAGCGCGATGTCTACACCACTCTCACCCGACGATATCTCCCGAATCATAGGCCGAACCACGACTGCGCTTGGAGAGATAGCACAAGTGCTACTTGAAGAAATTTTGCCACGTATGTCGTCAACACAAGCAGCGCAAACACAAGCCCATGTGTCAAAGATTGTCAACGGACTTGTTCGTGCCTTGGTACAGGAAACCAACAACGGGAACGAGCATCCATCACTATTGCAGCAACTGTACACCATGCTGCAACAAGACGTCGCACCTGTAACCCCTTTAGATGTACAGGTGTCAGACGAACGGTTGCTTGCTATCGTTGATAGGGTTGAAAGCTGGAGGGACTTGGTGCAAACGGGAGCGCTTGAGTCCCCGGACGAGCTAGAAGCCGCGTTGTTAGCGCTAAACTTAGACGAACAATCGTAGGTGCTGGTGTTGAGGACAATGAGATTGGCAAGAGGGATGATTGGGGTTATGGATGAGATGGCAGGACGTTCTGAGAATGAATAGCAGCCGATATTGGCATTGGTGATACAGGTGGTTAGGATGCTTGTTGAATTACTGCTAGCTATAGGCTTGGTGGTTACTCTGCTCGTCGTCACTAGTGACCCCTAATCGATAATGCCTCCTGATCTTCCTAGCAACTGTCTTTCGATTTCCGCAGTTACTGCACCTTCTTCGCCCCCGATGCAATCTCAATGTCCGCCAGTGCAGCCTCTCGCCAGAACCAGACAGCGGCAAGCGTCGCGCCCGGGCCACCACCACCTGTCAGTGCCGCAATAACAAGAAAGCTCTCGAAGATGTTTTCGAGCGTAGCCTCTCCGTTCCTCATCCGCTGCACATCGCACACCGCGACCCACGACGGGATAATGTACATTAGTCCGATGATGAGCCAGTCCCACTGGAAGATGAACAGCAAACCCCAATCAGCGTTCCTCTTCCAGGTATAGGTACTGGGTAAGAAAACGCGGGCGTACGTAACATCAGGGTCTGTCGATAGGGAAATGCCACGGATGGCGTACCAATGAGTCGCTACACAAAGAACGAAAAGCAGAGCGTAGAGGACTTTGAGATGTCGAACATCGGCATTCCTGTTGCTTGCGGTAACGGTCGTCGAGGTACCAGAGAGAGAGACGAGCCACATGGGGATGCCGGTAAGAATGGGTGTGAATTGCCAGAATGCTAAGAGCTTTTGCATCCTGTCTGCGCTTTGGTCGGGAAGGAACAATGCGACCGTAGGCACAACGTAGAACAGGAAAACGCCCGGTAGGATAACGCGCGCGTAAGGCAACGGGACAGTGCGTCCGCTCTCAAAGTAGGCTTTGGGCTGCGAGACGCGATGGAGGACTAGCCACCAGATAGTGACGATGCAAGCTGCTCCAACGTTCTGATAGACGAAGGCCCAGATGGAAATACTGTATAATGTCAGCTACCTCCGGTTTCGCCAAATCCTACATTTGCAGACTTACTATTTCAGCCAACTATTCTGATTTCGCTGCCGGTACGCCTCAACATTGTTGATCGTGACAAGGGCCGTGATTTGGATAAGGAAGTAGAGTTGTTGCCAATAATATGGCTCGTTCCATCGCATCGGGCCGGCTAGGAAGGCAGCCACCAGGAAAGATAGACCTTCGTCCACCAAATGGATGCCCGTGTAGTTCTTCTTGATAGGCACACCATTTGGGAAAACGCCCGACGCTGCTGTTTCTAGAAAGCCCACAGGAACGTCGTTCATCGCGGTCGTGATGCGCATCGTATAGAACCCGAGCGCGGCCAACGCCGCCATGAGAGCCAGTAGCGCATTGTTATTTGGGCGGCCGACGTTTGCTGCTGATGTTGCCATGGTGGGCTGTTGCTGACGCTCAGGACATGTGGTGTGCAGTGGCAGACAGGTCTGGTTTTGTTCGTCGTCCCGCGTAAGTGCTCGGCTTCACTTGGCGAGCTTCATCTCTCCTATCAAACTCAATACGGAGAATACGACGCCTATTACTTGCGGGGCTTGCTTATGTAAAGCGGCTCAAGGGCCGGCGGTTCCATTGCTGCTTGGCTGTGGCTGTCTGGGCAACTTCTGCACTGTCAGACGACGCCCTAGCATGTCGATGTTATCGCAAAGCAACGACGAGAAGACAACAGGACCCGGAGCGTTCGACGATGGTCCAATGCGGCCCCGGGGACGAATGATGTCTCACGTGACCCAGGCGTGGTTGAAGAGCTGCGTCATGTGACCCTTGAAGACTGCCGAGGTAGGTCCGCGCCGGACAGATCTATACGGGTTTTATCCGGAAAGCGAACTCATGGGTGAGATAAAAGTTTCCCATCAAATGGAGCGAATGTCGTTTTTACTGTGCCTGGAGTGTTGTTCCAGGTAAGTATACCGAATGTATGGTTCGGGCCTTCCGGCTAAGCGGCACACTCGATGGCCGGAACGTGTTTCAACGGCGTTGGTGTTGATGGCCATCCGGTTTTAGACGTGACGTCAATGCACCGCTTCTTGACATGCCTCTATCGATATTCCTTTTGAAAGAGCAACTTCCACGGTGCGAATAGAAGGAACAGCTGCATCTAACCCGAAAGAAAAGACGGCTCGCATGGCTTTGCGGGGTGATGTGCAGTAATGGTACCTGCCAAGCGCCCAACGCGATGAAGGTGGACGCGGAGGTGCCGAGATCGCGTCCTCCACGCGACGCTAGGGGAGTGATGTCATAGCATCCTTTCATCGCCTTTCGACGCAAGCTGGAGCAAGCACCACCAAGAATCTCCGTCTTATGCATGGACGCCACCAGATCGAGTATGGCGCCTCCAATTTATGATGCGCTCTCCAGCGCTATTACGCATTGGCGCCCTCCAAGTCTCGGAACCTTGGCTGCCAGGGTTTGACAGCGCGTCGCGTCTTCCCTCTTGTATGCTTGTCTCTCTTGTCAAACCTTGCCTGCATCCTCTTCCTTACTCCCATTCACAACGATACCCCAGAGCCCCTAAAAGGCCCGAAAGTCATACAAAATGGTTGGAGGCAGACGCAACGTTCTCAACAGCCACGACAACAGCAACGGCAATGTCAACCGTCGCCACAACGTCGAACAGTTCAGCAAGTACCAGCGCGTCGACCTGGAAAGCGGATATGGAGCGATTACACCCGTCAAGCCGAAGCGTAGATTTCGCGATGCAATTGAACAAACCGTCAAAGACAACCGCGCCAATGAAATGAAACAGAAGTTGATCGACAACATCGACCATGAAGCGCTCGAAATATATAGGAAGAGTGACGAGAGCGTATGTTGCAAACCGTCGAATCGCTCATTCAAATGCTAACATCCACTTTTAGCTGAAATCTATAAAGAACAAAAAGGTACGCGGTTTCTACGAGGAGCAGAACGAGCGCCTAGACGACTGGGCCGAAGTCGACATGGTTGTTTCCTCACTCGCCGACGACATCGTCGATAGTATGAACCCGCGAGACGTCGATGGCGATGGCGTGGCAGAAGACCGGGGACCATTGGGTAACAGCGGTGAGGACTTGGAACCTTTTCTACCCGAGGAGGAGCGCAACAAGCGAGCAAAGTCCGCTAAGCACGCGAGATGGGCGATTAATGTAAGTACGGATCCCAAGCGTGCCTTCGCAAACTGACAGTACAGATCAACGTAATCGTAAACATCCTTCTCCTCGCAGCCAAAGGTGTAGCAGCCATTTGGTCCAGCTCCCTCTCCTTGATTGCATCCCTCGTCGATTCCGCCCTTGACTTGCTCTGCACAGTCATCATCTGGACTACCAACAAGCTTGTAAGCTGGCGTGTGGAGGGTTTGCGAAAGAAGTTCCCAATCGGCCGCCGACGCCTCGAACCAATCGGCATCCTGGTCTTTTCCATCCTCATGGTCATATCGTTCCTCCAGATTCTGCAAGAATCGGTCAAGAAGCTCTTGCCAAGTGGTGACCACAGTGTGTCTCAATTGCCACCAGCTGCCATTTTCGCCATGGTCGCTACAATCGTCGTCAAGGGTACCATTTGGGTAGGATGCGCAAGGGTCAAGACAACACAGGTGCAGGCCTTGGCACAGGACTGCAAGACTGGTAGGCTCATTTCCTTCGCCTGTTCGAATGCAATGACTAACAGAAGTAGACGTCATCTTCAACACGCTCTCCCTCTTGTTCCCGCTCATTGGGGGCCACGTCGGTGTCTGGTGGCTCGATCCCCTCGGCGCAGCTTGCCTTTCGCTTTTCATCATCTACGACTGGGCTTGCACTTGCTTTGAGAACGTCACCCGTTTGACCGGTGAGCAGGCCAGTGACCGTGTGGAACGCAAGATGATGTATATGGCATACCGCTTCTCGCCCCTCGTCGAGGGTTTCAAGAGTCTCAAGTGCTACCATGCGGGTGATGGTGTCTGTGTGGAGATCGATGTGCTCATGAAAGAGGAGACGCCCTTGAGGAAGTGCCATGACATTGCGGAGACCCTGCAGTACTGTCTAGAAGGCCTCAACGAGGTGGACCGCGCTTTTGTTACTATGGATTGTGAGTATCATAATCGAGAGAAGGGTGGTTGTGAATATAACGCTAACATCTTGCAGACACTTCCCAAGGTCCTACAGGCCACGCCGGCAGCTAGATCTATGCATACGAGCGATTCTCATTCTGCGAGGTTAACGGCTGGTCGCATAGCATACATGGCGTTCAGTCAGTATCATACATACCTGTGTTTTTCTCATCATTTCCAGCGTACT